TTATATACTTTAAGCCTAATTATCTTTATAAAAAAATAATAATATTTATTTATATATCTTTAAAGTTAATTATTAAAATATTAACTTTTTAGCTAAAATTAAAATTCTAGGTAATAATAAAGGTAATAAGTATCTTACCTATATATATTTATTAGTATTCTTTACTTTTATACGCTAGGGGCTAAAGCCTCTTTTAACTACCTACAGCCTTATCGCAGGAGCCCCCGCAGTAGAGTCCCGAGCCTTTTGATATCATTGTATTAGATAAGTTTTAAGACTGTACTGAACTCCTCTTCTGGCTAACTAACTGCTTCATCTCTGCTAATGACCAGAAGGCAGGCGGCCAGTCTGCCTGTCTTGTTATTCTAGGCGATAAGCGACAAGCTATATACGGATTCTGCGGCGCAGATGATCGCTACCTTTCTTTAGCTGCAGAGCTGCTGGGTCCTGTCAACTCCTATCCCTTTATCAGGGCTTAATTAGATAAAAGTTTTTAACTATTGTACTAGTCAGTTCGGTTTATTAATAACACTTTTCTCAATAGTAAAATGTATATTACCAGCTCTAAAACTAGCCCTAAACCTATTGTCTTAAGGTGTTATTATTAGGGTAGTAGCGCGTTAGCCAGTCAGCTCTTAAGGTTAATCAAGCGCTACGGAGCCAAGAATACCACAATCTTAGCACCGATTGTACGTAAACGTAGCCCTATGCAGCGTATGGTCAATCTCTTGTGCAAGAAACATAAAGTACCTATTTCTATCTTAGCTAAAGACGATGTTCCACTAGATAACAGGGTTAACAAAGGCAAGATATGCGTTTCTACTATCCACCAATTTAAAGGTAGTAAGCGGGATTTGGTTATCCTTTTCAGCCTCAACTCTTTATTTTTTAAGTATCTTAGTCGTAATTTCCCCGATAATAGTTGTACTAACGAGACCTTTATAGCTCTGTTACGTACTGTCGAACAGCTTGTCTTATTCCACTTCGAGGAGGCAAAGCTCATACCTTTTACATCGGTTGCATCGTTATACAAGACAGCCGATGTTGTTAATATTTTAAGAAATCAGCACATAATTAAGTCCCCTGAGGCTCCGGGTCAACCCTTAATATAAAGGCTTATGCCGCCACACTCAGTCGCAGTTCAAGACATAGCCCAGCACATTAAGGATAAAGATCTTAATAGTATTATTAATAGCCACTTGTGTATTAAGAAGCTCTTGCCTCTACTAAAAGATAAATACATTAGGCTCCTAGATATTGTGGTTTTAAACAGAGGAAAGAACCTTTACGAAGTAGTAAGCGATTTAAATGGCCTTGCCGTTATCGCAGCCTTTAAGTATAATATTGCTAGAACTCTGAGCACGCTGGACCTTAGTTAAAGCGAGATTAATATAATCCCCAAATTTAGCTTACAGTAGGGTATTTCTTGGCTTTATCGAAAGGCCTGTAACTATAAGGCTAACGTCTCAGGCTATCTCTTGCGTTCCATTTAGATGGAAAGCTATGCCTTTAATTGGATAGAACCTGACGATTTGGCTCTGGCCCGGAGTCGGCTCCGCGAGGAGCTTAGCGAATTAACCGCAAACCCTAGTTTTGAGGTTCGAGCCGAAGGGGTTTTTAGCATTGATGATCAGGAATGCGTGCTTGGTGGTCGAGCTGACATCGTGGCGGCTACGTCCACTTCCGATGGCAACAATGCTAGGGGTGCTGAGTCCATCTGGGAGATCAAATTCCTTCAACAGCTCTCGAACCAGCATGTCATACAGGCGTGTACGTATGCCTATTTGTTGAAGCTGCCGTGCATTGTACTCTACAATGTACGAACCGGGGAGAAGTGGGAGATCACACCTCGCGACGGGCAAGAGGGGCTACATCGCATGGTTGAAGAGGTTCTAAGACTCAAATACACATCTATACCAAAAATGACCGACGACGAGTTCATTGAAAATTGTGCAGCGGCAAGATGGGAAGTATCAAGTATACGTTGTTAGGTGGATAGTAGCAGTGAGGCGCGCTCAATGTGCCCACGACCTTGGGTTCATGTCTTGCGGTGGCCTCGGAGTGGGAGCCGAACATTTCGGCTACGCAGTCTAGATGGTAGGTAAGATGTCAAGCATGGAGTAAAGTATTTCTGAGACTGGAATGCAATACATTATCTTTACTAGCTTAGACCTGAGAAGCAGGATTGGTAGTCTCGCCTTGGTAGACCCAATCAGACTCGTCAGTATGTACCAGTGTCGTAGGGTTGTCAATTACGTAGACCGGTCGCTTTGCGATTCGGGTGGTTTCCTGCAAGGTTCTGCCTTCGTCACCTCCTATTGCCGTGCTTGGGAAGGAAATAGGCTGGCGACTGTATATGCTTAACATACGCAAGGGGCTATGACTTATTCTATTGCACTGCCTTGAGTAAATACAACAATCGCTTTGTTGTATATCCCTTCTAGAGTTAGTTAACGAAGAAGGATAATGAGTTGCTTAGGCACTGGTGGTTGGCTGGTCTGGATAAAAGCTTGTATTGAAAAATGCCACGTTTTACTATCATTTTCGTGGAGCAAACCTTGTCAATAACAGTCACGTGTTCGATGTGGTGCATATAAACACCAGCTCTCTGTTACTTTGCACTCAAACCTTTCCTTTAAATGCGATACATACTATTCACCGGATACCTTGCTGCCTTATTTTCGCCTCGACTATCCGCCCTCTGATGCTGAAATGAAAACCACCATGTTACGCACGTTTCCGCAACTCGCTCTTGTCTTGGCGGTCACGATTATTAGTAGTCTTGCTGTTATACAGCTGGTATCCTTTGTGCGTGACATAAGATCATACAGCGACCTTGAGGCTCCCGGCGTAGCGTTCGTCCTGAAACCTGATCATGGGTAAGTCCATCGAACCTCACACTAAATTGATTGCATAGTCGGCCAAGTAGTAATACTCGATAGAACCGCGGCAATCTTCCTCGGAAATGGCTCATCTGTTGCTGTCGCGAGAGTTGAAGGCTCTCAAGCCTACAAAGACCTCATGCTACGACAAACACGACTCTAGCAACAACAGAAAATCGAAGCAATTTGCAGAGACCAATTTCCGATCTATGGAGCCTGAACAAAAGATTCTGGAAACAGCCAGACACTATGGAAGACAATCGATAAAATCGCACTGGAGCCAGTACTGAGAGGTTTGAAGACAGCGGTTGAGGCAGCCCGCATCTACAGTGAGGAAGACAGCTCCGTTTGGGTGTTGCTGGAAATCTAGAGGAAAAGGTTGCCCAAAGAATTGGGGTTACCAATTACACGTATGCCCTATTTAGGAGATCAAGGTAGTACTTGAAAGCGGTAGTCAAGCATATGTAAAAATCTCAACCTGATACACTATGGTATTTGGTGGAAATAGTGGCCGCCTCCTGAATGTCCCGTTACCTAGTCGCTGGAGGAATGACCATGGCTGGCGCGGCCGATGTATGAATGTATTGGAGACCATCAGACAATGACAATTCTAGCTACTTACGCCAGCGCCAGTTTTGTTCTGGATGTAAGGTCCTCAGCGACGGCGCAGAAGTCCGTACGCAGCTACTGATGCATAAGGCTATTGTCGTCTTAGAGCTTTTAAATTCATGTGCAATGATAGCGGAAGAATAGTTCATTGCAAAAAGGTGTTTTCTCGAAATTATGAATGTGCCCTCGTACTAGCTGCTGTCGCTTGACAAAATTCTCATCAGTCCCTCTACTCCCCCACCTAATTCGATCTCAAACTCAACCGGACCAATATGGCTTAATCTAACCGGCGGACCACTCGGATCTTCACATCCTTCCTTTGGAGAAGGCTGACCAGGGGGCGACATTACATCTTCCTTCCTTCCATAACGCCACCATTCAACCTCCTCATTCTCACGAACTTTAAGTTGGTACCTGTGGCCGGGCTTAAAGACTCGGTCGCCTTCAAGGCCAGCAGATCGAAGGAACCTGTGGGTGATAATAGTAGGCTTTTCTGGCTCCAGCGTAATGAAGTACTGGTCGTCGCGGCCACCGAGTTCATAACTAAACTGTGGTCTTTTTGGACCTTTAGTAGACTCGAGCTGTAGCGGCAAACCAGTCGTGAGACCTGTACAGATGAAGTTTTTGCGACGCTGGGCAAGTCCAAGATTGAAGATGTTATGCCATGTGAATATAGTGATAGGGTCGGAAGCGTGTAGGATTGCAGTGATAGAGATAATGGCGCTGGGGGGTGATACAGAGCCTCTGGTGAATGTCGGCGGATCAATGGAAAGGCTCACTGAGATTGTTGGAGGGCTAGGCATATTTTCAGACATCTCGCACGTGCCAGGGAAAGTTTGTTAAAGCAGTGATGCAAGTTAAAAGAAAATCTTGTTCCGAAACCAGTCTCATATATTTTGTGATGGCGCTGATGCGGTGACTCAGATGTTAATGATGTCCTGAGGCTGCCATGACATCATCTGTGACTGATGGTCAATACGCGTGCATGATTCCAGCCATTCATATGTACACCCCAGGTTAGTGGATGGTATGGCAGAAAGTGAAGCGGGGAATTATTCATTGTTTGCTAAAACCTTAGCGAGTCTGGCAACTGCCTATGTAGATCAAAATTTGAAGCTAATCACACAAGACATCCTTTCTTATATGCACAATCCTCGCTGCTTATAAGAGATGAAAAGCGTTATCTAAGCTTCACAGGCAACATTGTCGCACATTGGGTCTTCTCCATCACTCTTGGTGGGTTTCCCATAGTCTTTAGCGCAGACAGTACTCCAATGCAGCTCATTTGCAAACCACGAGTAACTGTCGGCGTTCCTTGACGCTTGCTCGCGGTTCAACCGCTGGCTAAGATAGGGTCCATAGGCGACGTCATCCGTTCCCTCAGGAAGAATATCTTTCATCAGGAGATCATAGTGAGTAAACTCATGAACGAAGATTAAGCCAAGACTTTCCATCTTCCACGAGACCCGGGAGTCGAATTTACTGCAACTGATGGCTTTGACGCCATCGTAGTCTTTGCTGAGGCCGCCATGGCCATAGCCAGCCTTTGGACAGATGATTATCTCCGGATTCTTACCACCGGCATCTCGCATCTCAGCTGATGTCGAACCATCACAGGAATACTTCTGGTCATCGGGATCTTTGTAGTCGGGGACAACTTTGATGTTTCCTAGAAGGGCATTGCCATTTCCGTCTTCAGGGTTATCTCCCAGCATTGCTCTGAAGACCTCTATATGAGTGGATAATTGTTGAAGGTGCCTGAGGCACCTACCTTGTATATCAGCCGGACCTCGAGACCTTAGTCAGTCAATACACACACATCCCTCTCAACAATAATCAGTCACTCGAATGCGAAACTGTTTGGCCTCTACTTACAGTTTACAGTTTCCATGTCATCAGGATTGAACCATTTTGCAAAGATGCGCACTGATACAAGTAATTCGTTGCCCGACTATCGAACCGCAGGAGAGACCGAACAGTCTTTCAGCCTGAAAAATATGGGATCTTTCTCGTATCCGAGCTGGCGACAAATGTAACAGACTCTCCTGGTTATATTGTGACTGGAATGCAAGGAACTACCATCCTTTCATGTCTCATAGGACAGGACGATCCACACTATCCACTATCATGGGCTCTGCAGACTATGGATGGCTATTATGTTTATTGCCTAATGTAATTTCAAGCATGAGGCTCAGAAATCCGATTCGATCTTCGTAGCAAACACTAACGTTCAGTCATGTATCATCTCAACTCCGCCAATGTCATCATCGTCGACTGTCTCTTCCAAGTCGGCCTCGATGATGTCCTCCTCGTCTTCATCTTCATCCCCCATAATCTCCTCACCCATGACTTTCCACCTATTCTTAACATCCAAAAACGCGGTATCGACATTCTTGCTTACAAACCACTTAAATCCGATACGTCTGTAACCAACAGCATACACCTGTTCTGTTGGTGATAGATATGCTTGTGTATGCTGCGCGCTAATCCCCGTGCTTAGATTACCCTGAATATTTGCCAGTCCACCTGTAGGGTCGATACCCCCTGCTAGGATGGCACCGAGTGGGACACCACCTCCTGCAGAAATGTTCTTCGAGGTCGAGATCGATTGAGATACCTCGGCGTTTATCACGGTCCGAAGAGCAGTGATCACGTACATCTTATGGCCGCTAGCAATGGCATCTTGCAATCTCATCCGCGTGCGCTCTTGAGATATGATCTCTTTGAAAAAGGCTAGTGGACTTTTGACCTCATAACACATGGCCTTGCATGCCGAAAGGTTGAGAACATGGGTACGAGAGTTATTCCAAGACCCCGAAAGAAGCTGAGTCAGAGTGGCCTCTAGGGCCGATCCTTTGTTTTGTTCGATGCGTGTTCGGAAGTCTAGTTGCTCCGACACATGTATTGCATCCTCTGTTAGGGTGATCGGCTCAAAAGCGTCGATGTGAGGCTGACGGATGTTAGGTACTAGGTTGCCCAGCTTGATCTTTCCCAAATCAATGGGAGTATTGATGAGTACGAGTGGCAGCGGCATTTTCAAAAACAACAGATTAGGGCTATTGGAAAGTACTGGTGATGTGTCTTGACGATGACAACAAAAACAGTTATTGTGAGAAGCAGAGTACTAATCATGCGCTTCGCTTTGCACTCCCTACTCACAGATCTTGTATCTCAGCTGCGGGGTTGCGCGGCAACTTCATGCCGATCGTCAAATTCAGCCGCACGCCACTGGGTGACATAGCCTCCATTACTAGCTAGATTCATGCCATGAGGCTGGCTAGAGGCGCAAACTATTGAGACAAGTGGAATGTGGCGGGTCAAGAATTTGATGGCGTCTAATAAGGATTGTCTCAGATGGGCTCTGTGAAGTATTCTGCCTAGGAGTAAATTGCCTATATCTATTAGATTTGCCGACCTGTACTACCACATGAGCTTGACGAGGCTTCCTGTGATCTTAGTAAGGCCATCGCCTTCCAGATTGAATCGATTGCGCCTAAGTGGATACCAATTCTCAACAACGTGAACCAACCCCATAATGGAGACAGTCAAACATGAAGACGAGACGGGGCCCAATCACTTGGACTATCTTTTGAGAGTTGGGTTCACGCAGATAAACCAACACGCTAGCAATAATGATTTGACTGCAACTTTAAGCAAGATCGAGAAAGCCTTGGACAACGGAAAAAATACAGCAACAGCCGGACACTACGAACAAATCGCAAATCTATACTATAACAAGTTCGGAATCACGTCTCAGGAAGATGAGATACTTAAGGCCATTTCCCACGCCAAAAGTGCACTAGAGGCGGCCGGAGACGACACAAGATACCGGGCAAATCGACTCACAAATCTCGCCACGTACCAGCTTACATTGTTTGGGAGCGACTTTCAAGGAAATATCCTGCAAGACGCCATCCACAACACAAGAGAGGCGGTAGAGCTCCGTGATCATGGTGCAGACGATGGCTTGCAGGAAAGGATGGTCCTTGCAAGTGCGCTTTACTACAACCATGAGTGGAGCGGCAACATCGCGGATCTTAATGAGGCCATTGATCTAAGCTTGCAGGTCGTGAACTCTACCGGAACTCAAGATACAGACTGGATCGACAGAATGCGAGACTTTACAACATTTGCAAGAGCGGGTTTCGACGCTGGCGGTACATTCGATAAGCCGAATATCGCCATCGACCTGCTTGAGCAAGCAATGAATAACGAAAGTCTTCCAAGCGAAACTCGACATGATTCTGCGGTGTTGGTGCTGGATTTTGTAGCCGAGAAATACGAGTCAACTAGGTCAGAACAGGACTTTGAACTTGCAGTGAAGGCGTGTAAGATTTCTATGGAACCACAGCCTGGGGAATATTCTGCTCCTGAAATAGCTTGTAAACGATGGAGTCAGGCAGCAGCAACAGCGTCCACACTATACCGGAACCGGTTCGAACTTACAAAAGACCCTCAAGATATCGAGGTGTCCATTATCATGGCCCGGAGGTTTCTGCCGGATGAGGCCGAGAATTTTGTGGATGATAACGGTTGCGCAAGTGCTTTGGCTCTCGCCCTATGGACTGACTTCCGAGCTCACGGAGATATTCTGAGGCTCGATGAGGCCGTCGACCTAGCGACCAAGATTCCACAACAACAGTCGCCTAGAGACGAAAATTACGTCAATGCCTTGACGAACTTGAACGGTATCTGTCAAACGAGATATAATGCCACGGGCAAAGAGGCAGACCTTCATACATGTCTCGATTCAGCTCTCGAGGCGTTGAACGCCACAACGACGAGTCCCAACGTGGCATTGAAAGTAAGGCTGTTGTTGTCAGCAAGCTCGGCATACATCCATATGGCAAGGAGGTACGGGGATCTAGAAAATGTGCAATTAGCCGTTAGATATGCATTAGACGCGAAGCAACTGGCCAAGGACCCGTTGTCAGACGTGGAGATCTCGACCTCCCTAAATTTGACCTTGTCGCAGGCTCTCATTCTGCGCTATCATCACCTCCAAGCTCTTGCGGATCTTACCGGTGCCGTCGAGAATCTCGAGCATGCGAGAGCCACAGCTTCAGGGTATTTCTTATTCCCAATCGTTCTGAACAATCTGGGCGAAGCGCTCAGGCTCCTGTATTCGAGGACAGGAAGGGCAGAATGTCTGGTGGATGGTATTGGTGCTCTGGAAGAGGCCCTTGTCATGGCATCTGCGGAGGACCCAGCTAAGGCTATGTATCGAAGCAACTTGTCACTCAGCCTTTTCGATCTCTTCAAGCTTACCAACGAACCCGAGACGCTGGACAAATCGATAGAGGCTATCGAGCGTGCTATCCAGGATACAGCACCTGGGGACACACAGCTACCAAAAAGGCTCAGCCTTAGTGGAAACTGTTATGGAGCGAAGTTCGAACTCACCAATATGTGTTCTGATTTAGACAAAGCGATTAGTCAAACGCAGGCTGCTATCGACGTAACACCACAAGATAACCCCGAGTGCAGCACGTATTATAACAACCTAGGATGGCAGTCTATGAAGCGGAGTTTTGCGCGAGAGGCCAAAGACGGGGTAAGCTCTCAAAGATCAAAGGAAGATAAGCAAGTCGCACACCAAGCCTACAAACACCTGCTTTACATGGCTGGTGCCAATCCCCTCGAGCGAGTCGTAGGGGGCTATAGTGCCAGCTCCATAGCCTTCAACAGCGGGGATTTGGAAGGTGCCCTGGAAATGGTAGAGAAGACCGTTGAGATGCTCCCCAAGATAAGCCCCCTCGCACTCGACCGTTCCGACCAGGAATACGCTTTGAGTGGCATCTCAGGACTCTCATCAGATGCTGCTTCTATTGTTTTAGAAGCTACTTCTGATGCTTCGCGAGCGCTTCAATTGCAAGAGGCAAGTCGTGGGGTAATCGCAGGCCTTACCATCTCAGCTCGTAACGATATCAGCGATCTAGAAGTCCAGGCCCCTGATATTGCAGCAGACTATAAAAGATGCCGAGATTTACTTTCAGCAGGAGCTCAAGCATCACACTTGCTTAGTGATAGCGCAAGCCCTACGGCCTCTCATGTAATCGACAGACATGAGTTGAACAAAAGACTCGTCGGGCTTGAAGACAAGATCCGACGAGAAGTTCCAGGCTTTGCTAACTTTCAGCAACCTCTATCAACTGACGAGCTGAAAGGGTTGGCGAACAAAGGGCCTGTTGTATCCTTCAACGTCAGTCACATTAGAAGTGATGCCTTCATCATCACTCAAAGGGACATAACATCCATCCCACTACCTGATCTGAAGGAAGAAGATCTTATAAACAACGCGAGGCTGTTTTTGGAGGACCCTATGATTACGAAAGACGGCCTCAGGACAAAGAATGCCAGAAACACATCACTCTTGGGCGTTCTGGAATGGCTATGGAAGGTGGCGGTTCATCCCGTCTTAGAAGCACTAACATTTCAAAAGTCGCTAGCTGATAAGAAGCTACCCCGAATCTGGTGGACAGCGAGTGGTCTGATGGCGCTGATGCCTATCCACGCCGCTGGTTATCACACCTCGGACGCTGCTCCGAACATCTTGGACTTCGTCATCCCGTCATATACCACAACACTGAGAGCCCTCGCATATGCCCGTGAGACTGAGTGGAATCCGCTTCGAGGTCCTGATTGCGAATTTGCCTTTATCGCCTCACCAAACAACGCTAGATCAAGTGCTCCCTTGACTGTGGAAGAATCTGCTCGCGAGCTTGATGGTGTTGTGCGACAGCATTGTAAGACGAATGTGCTGGTGGAACCTACGAAGCATGAGACCCTTGGTATTCTTGAATCGTGCAACGCGGTGTACTTTGGATGTCACGGGGAATCAATGTCAGCCCAACCCTGCAGGAGCTTCCTTCAACTAGGCACCGACGTCAACTCGCACTTAACCATTCAAGAGATTCAAGGTTCGCACCATCAGAAGGCGCAGCTGGCGTATTTATCTGCATGCTCGACTGCGAACATCTCAGCTACGCATCTCGTGGATGAAGTAGTCCACATAGCTGGGGCCTTTTCGTTGCTGGGGTTTCGGCAGGTGGTTGGCACGTTGTGGCAGGCTAAGAACACAGCGGCGAGAGTGATGGCCAAGCGGTTCTATGAGGACCTGATGACTGTAGATGGTGGGGACGAAGATTGTGTTGCGAGGGCTTATTATGTGGCGGTCATGGAGCTCAGGGCAACAAACGTTCGGGATCCGTTGGTTTGGGCTACTTTCGCTCACTTTGGGGCGTGATAGAATATTGATGCGGTAATTTAACTCTTCTTCTAAATGCACCTAAAATCAATCTGAACTAGTCTAAAGCTTAGAGTATCGCGCTTCTGATAGTGCCTCTATCCCAATCTATTTGGTGTGAGCCTCGAGATTCAGAAGATCCTGCTTGTCTCCGGTGTACTGAACCTTCTTCATCCACTCCTCGACACTCTTGATGCGATCAGGCACAATTCTGTCCATAAACTCAAAGTCCCTCTGAATCAATCCCGAATTGTCGCCGGGACTAGCCTTGTACAGATTCCACCAATTCTTGAAGTTCTCTCCATAAGTCATGAGGAGTCCACTATCGTCCTTGACAGACTGGAAGCCAATTTTGGTATCCGGACCTTGAGGTAGGCTCTTCCAAGCAACAGAGTTCCAGATATCAATTGGGACGTTGACAAAACGACTTGCTTTTCCGCTGACCTTCTCGGATGCTTTGGCAATATCTCCACCGGTTGCGAGAAAGGTGGCGATGCCAAAGTCTAAGTGGTTTGACTCCTCAGGATGTTGAAAGGACCAGTTGACATATTTGCCAAAGTCGCCGAGATGAATGAATGGGATGGAGCCGTTGTCGAGGGGAAGTTGAAACGTGAGCGAACCATCCTGTTCAATAGCGGGGGACATGACTGCAGAAAGAAGTTCCATATATGGGCCTGATCTGATAATTGTCCACTGCATTTTAACGTCTTTCTGTGCATGGATCCAATCTGTAAAAATGTGTGAGTAGCTATATTTTTGCTTCGCGTTGGGGAGCAGCTTACCTTGAATTCTAGCCTTGCCTTGATAATGTCCAACATAGAGATCAGGATCATAATTAGTCCTGGGCCCAACAGAGTCAAGACCACTGTAAATAAAATGCTTCACCCCAGCTCTAGCAGATAATTCAAACAAGCGGATGCCCCAATAAATCTCGGCTTGTTCGCCAAGTGCGAATCCATCAGTGTTCACCAGAACGTAGTCAACATCCGTGGCAGCTGCGAGGAAGGCTTTGGTGTCATAGCCAGTCGCTGCGTCACTAACAGCGATCTTGACGTTGGGCAGGGCCGCCAGTTCGACAGCCTTGGGTGAGGTGGCACTGCGGGTGAAAGCTGTAATGTTGTATTGGCCAGTGCTGGACAGGTGACGAAGAATGGCGCCGCCTTGAGCTCCAGTTGCACCGACGATGAGGATTGACTTCATGATGATAATGGAACTTGAAGGTTTGTGAGTATAGAGATGTTGGCGATGATGTGATTGGTATTGTAGATTGAGTATGATAGTAAATATACAATGTTCCGATAGAAGTCAAAGAAAAGATCTGTTTATATATACAATTTCAATCTCTGTTACCTATATCGTATAGACATTATCTGTAGTGGAGCTTTATAAGCGTTGTGCTCACTAATATTCTGTTTAGTGATCAGCTTGCGATGCGACTTTACTAAAACCCCGCAATAACCGCAATCTTTACCGCAGGGTTCAAGAGAACCAATCAGAAGCCCGAATCCTTCTTAGTCATTACGCCAATCCTAATCAATTACCGCATCAGCCGCATCATCCGCAACCGCGCCTGCTTACTCTGCATTGTCCGCCCATCACCACAACAGCATCCGCAATGCAAAAGAGTTGGGGGTTTCGAATGCCACCTGGAAGCAGAGCTCATGTCTCATGCTTCAAATGTCGCGAGAGTAAGCGAAGCTGTGACAAATCATTGCCCGCATGTCATCTCTGTCGTCGCAAAGGCATAGACTGCCACTATCCCCAGCACCGAGGCCAAAAAAAACCCTCCCCGATTGATGATGTCGCAGCCGCAAGGGCTTCGGAGACCACTCAACCTGAAAAAGCACAAGATTTGGTCAGCGCGGAGGCAATTCGCTTTCTGGCCCCGGACCTCTTTCGCGACATGAATCTACAGGTCCCGCGTCTTGGTTGGGAGATGCCCGCGGAAATTGAGGCACAGTTGGAAGGCCGGCAACAGATGCAACAGACGACCAAGGCGTTCTTGCTATTGACCAAATCATGGATGCCTATAGTCAATGGGAAGCGACACCTGGCTGCCGTGTTAAATCCCCTGGTTCCACTCCGCCGCCCAACAGCCCTCTTAGCGCTGTGCATGAAGCTATGCTGCCTGTCTGTTGACAAAGTCGAGGAGAAGCGGGTATTATATAGCCTTGTGAAGAAGTTCTATGCTGAGGTTGAGAGCCAAGAGGATCCCTGCATCCAAGTCATGCAGTCGGCAGTCTTCATCGCTGTTTTTGAAATGGGCGATGCAATTTTCCCGGCTGCTTACTTGACTGTCGGGGCCTTAGCGAGGTATGGTATGGCTATCGGGATGGATAAGATCAATCACCACGCGCTGGGTAAGAGCTGTGGTGCAGCCGTAGGCGCATCGTGGGCGGATATCGAGGAGATGAGGAGGGTTTGGTGGGGAGCGTTGATCCTTGACCGGTATGTCAATTGCGGCAAACTCTCATTGAGGCCTTTAACTAACCGGACCGTGCGTGAAGGTTGCTCAATGTATCTCAACCTTCTCGTGGCCTCAGCACGGCTGATCCCTCCTTCGAGGACTTTCTCCCCGTCGACGATGAGATCTTTTACAACCAAGTATAAGTACCTTTCCCCGAGCAAGGAACCTTGAGACCTTTATCCTAAATCATGAGGAGATTTGTTCAGGCTTATTGCAAGCTTAGACAGTCTTTAGACTCTTATATCAATATCCTAGGATAAAGGTCTTTATGTTGTCTTTCTCTTTTTTATTGTCTGACTTCGACTAACTATATATCTCATCAACAGTCATCTTCACCCGAACATGCCACTCGCATATCTGAAGGTTTCACCTTCAAGATGGGATCCTTCGCAAGGCTATGTCAAGCCATGCACCTCATCAGCAAATCCCTCTCATTCTGCCGCAGTGCCCATAATAGCAGTGACCAAGTTCCACAGAGCAATCCGCTTGAGGAAGTGGGACAGCTCTGCCGTACACTTGAGTCACTAGTCCGCGTCAACGAATTCGAAGCGACAAGCCGCCGACTAGCGTTTTGTAGTCAAAGCTGTGTTTCATACATGTGAATCTCCCTAACCATCAAAAGACCTGAATGCTGACTTTGGCAAGTGGTATCTTACTACTGCAACAGCACTATTGGCGACAACCTGGCCACGAGTCGGAACAAGACTCGACACCTAATATCTTCCCAGAAACAATTTCAGCCCTCGAAACTTTAGTTCGCATCTCGGCGACCCTGCGCGAGGGTGGTTACGAGCTATGGCAACATCTTGAAGATGGTCGCTGTTCTCTCTTCCTGGTCGAACTGGTTTACCAAGGCTTGCTGGTTCTCCTACGCATGGGTAAAGTCTGGCTTGCAGAGGAGGTACAGAGCAAAAAGTTATCATTGGCCTGGCTGCTTTCGCATATGGGGAAGCGGTGGCCACTCGTCGGTAAGATCATTATCCATATTCTTTGTTTTTTGACTAATGCCGTCACAGCTGTGTATAAGCGTATCTTAGAGGCTAGGGAGAGTATACTGGCTGTTGAAGATGCTTTGACATAGCATAGAAGACCATACAAACAGCTTCTACGATCGAGGCGTCTGCTGAGAACACATATGCAATGAAACTATCTTCGCTGGCTTCCGCTATGCTAGATGGAAATCTCTATATCCTACAACTTCGACGTAACTCCCTTGGAAACAGACTTATAAGTCTGCTCAAACCGCTCTCTCGTATCCTTGATACAATCATGCTCGTAAATCATCTTCTGCACCTCCGGACTAACCCATCTATCCGGCACAGGCGCAGTCCCCGTCTTTGCAGCAGCAGCAAACTGGCGATCTCGTTCCTCCCTAGCATTCCCAGCACCCAAGTGTAAAGCCTTGGCAGATTGAACCGCCAAATCCACCAAGGTCGACGTACGGGGTTTCCGCAGAAGCTCATATACCTTCAGTGTCTTTTCGATAGCTTCGCGGTCTGAGCCGTCGCCTGGCATTAGGCTCAGTGCCTCAGCGAGTGTCGCTGCATCTTCGATTGCCATTGCAGCGCCTTGTGAAAGGTGGGGTAGTGTAGGATGGCATGCATCGCCGAGCATGGTGACTGCGCCGCATGTCCACGTGTCAAGAGGCTCATGACAGCGCAACTTCCACTCGACAACTTCGTCACCAGGAACAAGGTCAAGAAGTTGTTGAACGATTGGGTTGAAGTCTTCAAATACCTGCTTCATTGCCTTTTTGCTGCCTTTGTTGGTCCATGTAGCGTTGGTGGCGCCGGCAAAGTTGACATCGGGCTGAACTGAAGCAATGTTGAAGATGCTGTGATTGTGAATTGGATAGGCGATGATGTGTCGCTTTTCGCCTATCCAACGTCTAGCGGTGTTGCTATTGAGCATGTACATCAGGTACGGATGTGGCTCCAGCAGTTCTCGGGGCAGAAGGATTCTGTAGGCTGCTGTCCCGGTCTCAAGAATTTCTGCTGCCAGGTTCAGATGAGCGAGTATCGACTCTCTAACCTTGGACTTGATCCCATCAGCACCAATGAGAACATCCGTCTCAATAATCTGCGGCTTTCCATTTTCATCCTTAACGATAAACTTTACCTTCCCAGGTCCAAAGTCCTCAACATACTGCAGCGTCTTCTTAAAATGAAACTTGACCGCCGGCTCCGCCTTCGCAGCATCATAGATTCCCTCAGCGAGTGAAGCACGATGGCCCGCGTAGTGGGGATACTCATACTTATCCCCAATATCAGTCATGGGCACGCGTACGAGCAGTTTATTTGACACGCCATCGTGGATGACGACTTCTTCAACCTGTGTGGCTTCGTCTTTGATGGAAGACTTGGTCCAGACGCCGAGCTGGTCGAGTAGGCGGACCATATTGGGTGCCATTTGGATGCCGGCGCCGACAAAGCCGAGGGCGGGTGCGTCTTCGTAGACATGGATGTTTGTGAAGCCTTTCTTGGCGAATGCCAAGGCAGCAGCCAACCCTCCCATTCCTGAATGAAGAGTCAGTTATCATTGGATGTTGTTTGAGTCGGGAATTCGGAATCATACCTGCTCCAATGATGGAGACCCTGAGATCGGTCTTGTTGGTCATGGTGATATGCCGTGAGATAAGAGTATGAGGAGTGAAGTTTATCTTTTGTTGAGTGTTTCTAGTCAAAACACAATTTAATTAACTCTCTCGTGCCTTTTTATCCTCAAGGTTATCATGGCCTCAATCCTTGGCCGTAACAGTTTTCGCATTGTGAGAATATAACGGCACAAAACCTCGGTAGACATATCGGCCGTCCCACATCGGAACCCCGCCGAGCGATCAAAGGTCGGCAATTGCCCTGTAATTAGGTGCGTATATCAAATCACGGCTGAAACCCAGCCCAACGCCGAATCAAGAATGGCTTATTTCTGCTTTCAACGACGTACAGAATATCACATGCAGGGGTCCAGGGTAGTCTCCCCGCATTCTGTCAAAAGCCCAAACTCTATCCCCACACAGAGAAATCGAGAACCCCACAAGCGCTAGCAAACCCCACAAAGTTAAGGTATCGGCAGTTTAAGTGAGTCCAAGTCCCGACTATTCCGTTGATAAGGTATATAGTAAAACAGGGCCATGATCCTGAATATTGTCGTTAGGGGCAATACTACTCTGTTTCATCTCACCTTTCTTGAAGACATAAACCTCGGTTAAGTGAACACCATGGCTCAGCCGAATACTTTGACGCCCGCTAAAGTCGAACTTGAGGACGATCCTCATCGTGCTGCGCTGGAGGATAATCCCACTACGCAGCCGAAAACGGGAGCCCGAGTATGGATTGCGATCTTTGTAAGATAACCCCCGTGATCATATAATCTCGGAATCGGAACTGACGATACCTACTAACAGTCAATGGCATTGTCCTTCGGACCAGCTGTTGGTCTTCCGTTCGTCTGCGTTGCAAGTATTGTGGTGCAAATCACCAATGAGCTTGGAGATGCTAGCCAACTACCGTGGGTCGTAGGAGCATGGTCTCTCGCAACAGCCTGCTCGTTCTCCCTCGGTGGTCCCTTTAGCGATATCTTCGGCCGTCGCAGTATCATCCTTGCAGGCCAAATTATCGTCTTGGTCGGTAACATTGTGGGAGGAACCGCCCAGAACACCCAAAGTATAATTGCAGCCGAGACTCTTGTGGGCCTTGGAGCTGGTTTTGTGTTTGTGGCGTATGCAGGTGTACCTGAAATGCTCCCTAACAAATGGCGGTCTCTCGGCTTGGGCATTCTTGAGGGAGGGATTGCGCTTCCTTGGTGAGTCTATTCGGCTCACAGTTATGTAGCTGTACTGACACAGAGACTCAGGGCTGTGGTGAGTGTGCTTCTCGCCAATGCCATGTACAAGTACGCGACTTGGCGATGGCTCTTTTACCTCGCCATTATCGTCCAGGCCATCTCCTTGGCCGGCACAGCATTGTTCTACTGGCCAACGACTCACCCCCAGGGAGACTTCGACAAATCACGCTGGACTCAATTCCGTGAGATTGACTGGATTGGTCTCGGCCTATTCACAGCCGGACTCGCCGTATTCCTCATCGGCCTGACTTGGGGCGGCAGTGCTTCCCATCCATGGAAGAGTGCCAGCACAATCGTGCCCATCGTTCTCGGACTATTCACCGTCGTCGCGGCTTTCATCTATGACTTCTTTTTCGCTAAAGCCCCCATGTTTCCTCTCAAGCTCTTTTCTACGATCCGCGGGTTTCTTCTTGTCATCGTTGTATTGTTCATTTCGGGGATGAACTACAATTCCCTTTCTGCTCTTTTGCCCCAGGGCTCTCTTTATATGTTCACTACTGACGGTATTGAGATTGGTGTTCTGGCATTGCCCAACACTCTCATGCAAGGCGTTTGTGGTTTCCTTGTTCCGCTCTTCTCTCATAAGATTGGACATATCAAATGGCAGTTTGTCGCTGGTACAGCATTCCAGGCCATCTTCATCGGCGCCAGTGCTGCAACCGTCAACCCGAACCACAAACTCGCCTGGGCATTTGTGCCAGCGTTTGGCGTCCCCATGTTCGTCCTTTGTACCATCTTGGGATACTCCATCGCTAGTCTACATGTGCCCCATTCCCACTTGGGTCTCGCCATGGGTCTTCTTGGTACTTTCCGATCGGCCGGCGGTGCAGTCGGAAATGCCATCTTCAACACTATCTTCCAGGATAAGTTCAAGACCTACTCGGGTGAAGAGATCGCTCGTGCTGCCCTACAAAGCGGCCTCAATGCGACTGACCTGGGACTCATCATTCCAGGAACAATCCAGCATAACCTCGGTGTCCCTGGCGCCCTCGACGCCGTCCCCGGCATGACACCAGAGATTCAGGATGTCCTTCGCCATGCTGTCAGACAAGCATACGGTCGCGCATTCCAGTTCGTGTTCTACATCACTATTGCTTTTTCAACTGTTGCCGTTATTTGCGCCCTATTCGTGGAGGACCCCACTGCTTTCATGACAAATCATGTTCAGTCTGCTATGGTTGGTCGAGGTCACAGCGGTGTTGTTGATGGAGCTGCCCCTACCACAAGCACGGATGAGAAGCCTACTGAGAGCCATGATGAGAAGAGTGATGGTAATACAGCAGGCGGAGTAAAGATGGCTTGATCTATGCAGAGAAGTGGTTATCTCGGTGTTACTATTGTGCCTCTGCGCCCCACACCTTTGCAGCGTGCGCTGCAGGTCGTCGACATGGACGTTCTGGTGTGATTTGGCTGCACAAGAACTTATGCAAGGCAGACAGATAAGTAGCAATCTAATATGGATTCTGGAATCATAACACGCGATTCCTATTCAAGAAGGTGACAAATTCTACCTCTGTTGGTAGTGCTGTGAGGATTTCAAAAGGCCCTTCTCTATTGTGTTGGCTGCATTAGCAATGACCCTGGCTCCAGGGGTAAATGATTCTGTTGGTCGCTGGAGATAATAAGCCTGTATTGCGCAATTCTATCATCTGACCGACCCCACTCCCACAACTATTTTTACCCTCTCGTATCTGCATAGCATCTATCCGTTTTAGTAGCATTACTTTCTTCCTTTTGTCGTCTGAACTTGTCACAAATCTCTCATTTCCATTCTACTGTACCTCGAGACGATCACAGAAAAATGCCAGTTGGAATTTCTCAGCATTGTCTCTGTTGCGATCTTGTATTTCCGCGCTCGTACTATGAGCAACAACGCCGCAATGGACGTGGTCTCAGGCTTCCTCAACACGATCTTTTCTTTTTTGATCCTACTACGCCTATGGCGGCTTCGAAGAGTGGACATTAAGATCGTCCCGGGATATTCTGGTTCTTCATCGCTGGTGCGGCATCCCTCAACTTGTACGGCAATTTGAAGCTGACGCCATGTAATGTATAGATAATAGCGGGCCTACTTCTTGTGGCGAATATTTATTCTTTAGCAGCCGATATCTCGCAGAAAAATCACCATCATGCTTTAGTGTCAGTTGCCTCCTTCGTCGCTACTGCGCTTCTCTGTTTTCTGCTGTACATGGAACATATGCGCTCAACCAGGCCAGCCGACCTTGCGGTTCTCTTCTCGCTCCTATCCTTGGGATTTGATGTAGCTGTTGTGATACAAAAGGCTCCCGAGGAGTGCTTGATACCCGCCACACAGATAGCTCTAAAGCTTCTTCTGGTCGCAACAGAAAGCCGAAGCAAACGACGGATTCTCAAAAGTCCGTACTCTACCCAAGCTCCTGAGGAGCTCGCAGGACTTCTCAGCAGGGTATTCTCCTGGTGGATCAACCCTATCCTCGCTTTGGGAAATAGGAAAATACTTTCTGGTGATGATCTACCTCCAATTGACCACCTCCTTCGATCCGAGAAGCTCCGTCGCGATGGTTTGAAGGCGTGGGACCAGAGGGCCAGACCATTGAACAAGATTGCACTACCCATCTGCCTCGCCAAGAGTATGCTACCTCAGTTTATGGCACCAGTCATCCTTCGGTTATGCCTGATATTCTTTCGTTACGCACAGCCGGCTCTCATTAGTTCTGCGGTTCATACACTAAGCAGCCACTCCGATGGGAGTAGGCTAATGTTGATCTTTAAAGCCGCTACGATCTACTTCGGTTTAGCGGTGTTTGAAGCAGTTTACCACCATCGTTTGAACCGACTCAGCATCATGACTAAAGGGACACTCGTCGGACTTATTAATAACACAACCCTGCGTCAATCATCTGCTAGCTACAACGATGGGATAGCCCTCACTCTGATTAGCACAGATACAGAGAGCGTGATGAGATTCTCGAGCATGTTCCATGAAACTTGGGCACATGTCCTTGAGGTCATGATCGGGATGGCAATGTTGGCTAGGCAAATTCGTTGGGCCGCCCCAGTACCTCTGGTGATTATCTTCCGTGAGACTTCTTCCAGTTCGGATTTTCTCTTCGTGTGTGTAGCTAACAGACCTCTCTGCTAAAGTCTGCTCTAGAATGAGTCGGTACCTAGCAAAGAACCTTCAGAGCAAGCAGAAAGCCTGGAATGAAGCCACGCAGGGTCGCATTTCCCTGACGGCATCTGCGCTCTCATCAATGAAAGTGATGAAGATGCTTGGAATTTCTAGATAGACCGAGACTTTACTTCAGAGGCTTCGAGCCCAAGAATTAGAGATGGCGAAGAAAGTGCGGTGGATGATGGTCGCGTATAACGCTAGTGGTGTGTTTCCATGATCACTATTTCGACAGTTCTAACCATAATAGCCAATGCGCTCGGAATATTCTCTCCTATACTAACTTTTGTCATATTCGTCATGTATGCTAACCTCCGCGGGTCGACTCTCGATGCCAAGACTGCGTTTACGACAACAGCGCTTCTTGGACTGGTAACCCATCCCGCAAACATGATCATGACTATTGTGCCCCGTGCCATCGGCTCTTTGGCCGCTTTTGGAAGAATCCAAGACTATCTTGTCCGGCCTGGTCGAGCTGATGAGAGACGCTTATTGAAGCCAAAGATGAAGGATGATGAATCTTCACCGGCGATTTACTTGGAAGGCGTCAATGTTCAGTCCCAATCATCGTCCCGTCCGGTTCTCGAAAACATCAATCTCAGCATTAATAAAGGCTCAATAATCGTATGCGCTGGGGCAGTTGGAAGCGGAAAGACAGTCCTCGCCCAATGCATTCTAGGCGAGATTCCTACGTCGAAGGGTACAATCTCAGTGTCCACCAAGCGGATTGCTTGCTGCGAGCAATCTCCCTGGTTGCCGGGCGGAACTCTGAAAGAAGCGATTTGTAGCTTCGGAAAGTTTGAGCCTGGCTGGTATAGGCATGTTGTTGAGCTTTGCTGCCTCGATCAGGATATTTCAGCCTTGCCGCTCGGGGACAACACTGTGATTGGGAGCCGGGGTCTGAAGCTCTCGGGAGGTCAAAGACAGCGTTTAGTATGTGCTCATTTTTATCTCTACCCGTGAGGGCGTACACTGCTAAGTCTCCATCAGTCGCTCGCCCGCGCGGTCTATGCTCGGTGCGAAATTGTGCTTCTTGACGATAGCTTCTCAGCTCTCGACCACAACACAGAACGGAAGGTCGTTTCTAATCTGCTAGGAACGCAGGGCCATTTCCGTAAGATAGGCATTACAGTTGTTTTAATTGCTAACTCCAGTGAGTACTTTACAATATCTCTCGAGACATGTCATGCTCATAACTTTAGCTAAACACTTTGACCTGGCGGACTCGATTGTCATTCTTGAGAACGGAAGGGTCACCTACGAAGGGCCATCGAACAAAATGAGGGAAGAAGCGACACATTTACGTCAGACGCATATCAAATTAGCGGTGGCTGAAGCCAACACCAATCTTGTCGAAACGAACAAGACAATCCAGAGCCAGACTCTCGAAGTAACCGAGGCCATGGTTGATTTGGGCAGATCAACTGGAGATTTCTCCCTATATGGTAGTGTTACAACTTGAACGATGTGAAAGATACTGACTGTTATAGGATACTACCTGAGAGCTTTGCACCCGCGGAACTTCTTCATACTTATCGGTTGCACAGCTTCATACTCATTCTTTGTGACCTTTCCACAGTACTGGCTGCAGAAGTGGACGGAATCTCCAGGCTCTCAGACGACATTCTATATCGGAGGATACATCATCCTTTCACTCCTGGCCTGGACAGCCACGAATGGGTCAATGTGGTATGTCATTTAGCATCTGAACATATTCTCATATGGCTAATGGACGGTTGACAGGTCTACTCATATATTGATTGCGCCAAGATCGGGGGCTGAACTTCATCGACGTTTACTGACAACTATCTTCAGGTTTGTACAGGAATCCTTTGAGAGCCTCACTAACCAGTTGCAGTGCTCCCTTGTTATTTTTCTCAATGACAGAGACGGGTTCAATACTTAATCGGTAACGTAGACCAATCGCGTCTTATTCCTCTTCATTTGGTTGATGATTCTCAGGTTCAGTGAAGATATGCAGCTCGTTGACAAGAGCCTACCTCCAGCGATCCTTTCTCTTTCCAACCGTTAGTACCTCCGAGTCTCAGAACATATTTGTATAATGAAGATTTTTGACAGCCTGTAGAAATCTTCAAGCTTCTGGTGCAGGCCGCTCTCCTTTTCAGTGCCCAGAGACTGCTGGCTGCCACGCTGCCAATTTGTGTTTTGGTAGTCTACGTTGTACAACGGGTATATCTACGGACATCTCGTCAACTTCGTCTGCTCCAATTGGAATCGAAATCTGCTGTTTACTCAAGCTTTCTTGAGTCCGTAAGTACTGGCTACCGCATCTCATAAGCTGGGCTAACAATCCCACTTGTTCACAGGTCGAGGGTGTCGTCAGCATCCGGTCGTTCGGCTGGGTGAAGCAAGCTGAGACGAATAGTATGCAGTGTCTCGATAAGTCGCAGCAACCAGCTTACATTCTTCTCTGCTTGCAGCTCTGGCTGAACATTGTTCTAGACTTAGTCATTGCTGCCATGGCCGTGATTTTGATCACTTTGGCAGTCTTCTCGGAGGGCAGCACAACAGCTGGACAGATTGGGATGTCGTTGAACATTGTTCTTGTCGCTAACTCGACGCTTTTAGCCCTTGTCACATCTTGGGCGAATTTGGAGATATCTCTAGGTGCTATATAAGTCGCGCCCGGAACTATTGCGTAGCGAGTAAATAGCTGCCCCTAGCTTTCTGAAGCTCTGTCTTTGCTAATTAAATTACTATTACAGATCTCGCTTGAAGACACTAGAAGGAGAAACTGTAGCGGAAGAACAGCTAGCGCCCGGAGCAATAATCCCCGAGTCTTGGCCTTCGCGCGGGGCAGTTCAGATCCGTGACCTTACAGTCTCTTACGAAGAGAAACACGTGCCTGCATTGAATAATGTTAGCATATCCATTGAACCGGGTCAGCATTTAGTGATTTGCGGTAGGACTGGCAGGTAAGTCTCTTTGTCACTCCATCCGATCACTCTATTGTTAAGAGGTCGTTCTAGTGGGAAAAGCACTCTCCTTCTCGCCTTGCTCCGTCTTCTCAATACTCAATCAGGATCTATTGAAGTTGATGGCATTGATTTGAGCCTGGTTCCTCTGTCAACAATACGAGAGCAATGTTTCATCACCGTGACGCAAGATCCATTTCTGCTCGCACAGGCTAGCCTTCGTTTCAACTTGGACGTAAGTTAGCAATCGCGCTTGAAACCTGTGGCGAGAACTTGCATTGACGGATTCCTTCTTTTTCCCTTCATAGCCTTCAGAAACTCTTTCCGATAGTGTAATCATGAAGGCACTTGAACGAACTGGGCTTTGTGGACATTTCGGCATTAACACGCAGGCAAACCTGGTAGACATCCTGGACGACCCTCTCAGTTCATTGCCTCACATGTCAACTGGGCAAACACAGCTATTTGCCTTGACCAGAGCTATCCTCCGAGTAGAACATTCTTCAATTACAGGAACAAAACCTATTCTACTTCTGGACGAGGCGACTTCATCAGTTGATGGTGTCGCAGAATCTATCATGCGGGGTATCATTAAAGAGGGGTTTACTGATAACGGACATACTGTGATCGAGATAACCCACCGGTTGTCTGGTTATGAGGATATCGCTAGAACTGGAGGGGAGAGTCGACGGGTGAAAGTGGTTCTCCTTTCGCAGGGGGAGATTCAGAGTCAGGGAAGAATTGAGGATATGCTCGATTTTGGCAAGACGGCTTAGATGAGCAGGGATAAAACACTGATTCCTGGTCTAGTTAACCAACCTCACATGCACTGCGAGATCTAAACAAGTTATTGAGGTCTGATAGTTCAAGATAAAGACCGTCGTCTCCAAACAACTACCCTTTTTATACAATGCATCCCACAGCATCATCTGCATTCCAAAAAAGGAAACAAATGTGTCCAAGAATGCCGCGATACCGCTTGCGGCACTGATTGTCGTAGGTGCCGCAGGGTCTAGAACCAGTAGCATCGTCATTCATTATCATGGGCTCGACCAGCCTATTTCAGCATAGCTCGATCGCCCAGCTGGCTGCTCGTTCCCTGAGTGATGATTGGTTGATGCCGTATCAGCGAGGTCGGAATGCTGCGACCGTCGGCTAGAGGCTTATCTTGAAGCGTCTACTAGTGTCGGCCAACCCCGCATTCGCCGGTAACTAGTCGCGATACGAGAATGGGTTGGGATATTTAAACATGTCGCTATGGCCCCTTAATCTTGGCGGATTGAGAAACATACATCCACTGACCTTCTATCATGCCGCCTGAAGAGAGCACTTTGACAATTGACGTGTTGCCTCCGGGCACGCAGCGCATCAATGACTTGCAAGCTACTCATATCGTGCTGGCTCCTCGGCCAACTTCAGATCCCAATCAGCCTCTGGTACGAAAGTCCACCAACAAGGTTACAAGCACTAACAGGTTCAGAACTGGAGCACAATGCGCAAAACCCTCCATATGGTGCTTCTCTCCCTCTACTCAATGATGATGTTCTGCATGTACGTCTTCAGCCTCACTCTATTCTTCCAGCACTAATCGACGTCATTCAAGTCCCTGCATGAGCGTCCCATTCTGGCAAAACTTCAACGAAGAGCTTGGCATGAGCTATGACATGCTGAACAATGGATATGCGGCAAATATGGCAGGTCTTGCCATTGGGTGCATCATCTTCATCCCTATCGCCCTGCGCATCGGCCGCCGACCGGTTTATCTCGTTACGTCGTTGATCATGTTTGGTGCTGGGGCGTGGCAAGCTGAGACGCACACTATTGGGGACATGATTGGTATGAATACTATCGCTGGTATCGCAGGAGCTGTCAATGAGGCCTTGTTCCAGGTCACAGTAAGTGTTTATCTATCTGCACCGAAGGTGAACTTATGCTTATGGTAGCACAGGTTACGGAACTCTTTTTCGTTCATCAACGTGGTACAATGAACGGTATCTACTTTGGAATGGTCCTAGTAGGGGTGAGCAACCTATGATTCCTACACTGCTGTCACTTTCTAAAAGAATACAGAATTACCTTGGACCTGTCTATGGTGGCCAAGTCGCTGTGACAATGGGCTGGCGATGGGCATGCTGGTCTGCCACCGTCTTCACCGGCATCGTCACCGTCCTCATGTTCTTCTTCCTCGAAGAAACCAAATATATCCCCGCACCGCTCAACGGCCACGACCCTCGAGTCACCACCTCCTCGCCATCCGATAACGAGTTCTCCAAGGTCAACAGCACTGGAAAGACACCCTCGCCAAACGATGCACCCGCCAGCGTCGACTCTATGGAACAGCAGAGCGACACAGTCCAAATAGATCACAGCATTCCTATGAACTCTTACTGGAAGCGCCATGCACTTTTGACGTTGGATAAGCACGAGTCCACTCAGAAGCGCACGTTTTGGAGAGACATATACGAGCCTTTCCAACTCCTTGCCACATTTCCAGCCGTCATGTTCGCCGCCTTGCAGTATGGTTGGAGTATTGCCATGCTCGCCATTCTGGCAGTCACACAGAGCTCACTCTACTCCATTCCACCTTATAACTTCACAGCTGCAGGTGTTGGAAACATGAACCTCCCTCCATTCATTGGTGCTATCCTGGGAGCTATTTTCGGAGGTCCACTTGTCGACTGGTCCATCGTGCAGATTGCGAAACGTCGTGGAGGTATTTATGAACCCGAGACAAGATTGTGGCTATTCCTGGTTCCTGGGCTATGCATGACGATCGGATGTCTCATGTACGGACTCACTATTGCCAAGGTAAGTACTTTCCAACACTCCGTAACCTCAACTTACTGACGGTTCATAGGGAATGCCTTGGACCATCAATGCTGTAGGCTCGGGCTTCATTGGTTTCGCCATCGGAGGTGTCGGAGACATGTCCCTCACATTTCTTCAAGATTCCCATGAGCATGTAAGTTATTCCAACTCCAACAGCCTTGCCATCGACTAATCTTCCCGGAAAGATCATAGGTCCTGCTCTGACAGGCGTTGTTTTCGTTCGTAATGTCATTGCAACGGGCCTAGTATTTGCCGTCACACCATGGATGGAGGGTATGGGTGTGTACAACATGTATGTGGTCCTGGGCTGCATTTCTACTGTCGTTTCTTTAACTTGTGTGCCGATGGTGATCTGGGGTCGCATGTTCCGGGTTCGGTTGGCGGGCAAGTATGAGTACTTCACCAATAAGCAGTATTAGGTTGAGGCATATAAATATTAACATACAAGCTCTATCGTCTTTTGACGCACATATTCAGTATCTCCATGACCTGACTAGCTTCCGCGATTGGGAATGCATTTGTCTGGATCCAGATATCGTCCAGGCTGTTCCGGGCAAGGACCTCAAGCTTATCCTCTCCAATTCCCACTTCTTCGAGTGATCGAGGCATACCTAGGGCATAGATAAATACGTCCAAGATATCCGCCAAACTCACAGCGCTCTTATCGAGACCCTTTACTCGCAGAAGCTGTCGAACTTCATCCTGGTCCAACAACAAGTCCCGTACGACTTCTTGTCTCTCAATATTTGCCTTTTTGTCGTAATTGAACCGGCACACAGCGGGCAGGAGTATACAACTCGTTTCACCGTGACCAACTCCAAGTGGTCCAAGCTGATGTCCGATAGCATGACTTGCACCCAGTGGCACACCACTTGACACGGCACCCATCGACGAGACAACACCCTGATGGCATAGATGACGCGCTTGTAGAGACTTTGGATCTGCCTTACTTGCCAACAGACCACTGACGAGTTTAGCGAGTCCCTTTTTCGACCAATCATCAGCTTTATCGTTTGAGACAAGCGAGCAGAGCGTTTCAACACAATGATCTACAGCTCGGATACCCGTACTAAGCCAAACCCATTCCGGGGTCGTAAGGCATAGTTCTGGATCTTGGATGACGAGTTCTGGATCGACACCTTCGCAGTGAAAGGTTCTTTTCGCGTGGCCTTGGGACTCTGTTCCTCCTGCGATGGCTTGGAACTCGCCGCCCGAGAGTGATGTCGGAATGTGGATTAGAGGGATAGTCGGCCTGGATATGTTGGTTCTCAATGCAGGGTTGCTCTTCGGTGTTCCCCACAGGGTATTCATTTCCTTCTCCGTTGTGGCCGAGTTGGCTAAAGCAAGCCTTACCAATTTGGCGGCATCTGTGAGACTGCCAGCGCCTAGAGTGACGAGGCAGTCGATGTCGAGGTTCGAAGCATCGTTGACGACTTCAAGAACTTGCGCAATTGGGGTATGTGGATTGATGCCGATTCGGACCCCGACAATTCTACTACCAAGCGCCGAGCGAAGCTTTTCAAGTGCATCTGTCGATTGCGCCAAAGATTTGGAACAAATCACGTACACTCTGGAGCTGGAAAACGTGTCACGACAGTGACGTAAGCAGGCCTCAGAGAATGTGAGCCCGTGCGAGACTTTGGGCGTTTCTCGGCCTTCGTAGGCTGGATAGCAAACTTCTTTTCCGAACGTAAAAGTCATGATTATTTGCAAATATGGTGGCTGCCGCTGGAAAGGTGCTCGGTCTACAGAAACTCAAACAAGGACAAGAATACAGGGTAGGATAGAGAATGAACCCGTCCCCTCTCGCTGAAGTGAGCTTAGCGCAGGCATAGCAAACGCGTTCCACTTCCACTTCCCCCACATGGAACGCGGTGAACTCTTCTCCACATGAAATGCCGCGTATACGGAATTACGGATATATACTCAAGACGTGATGTGGGACGCCTGAACAGGGATAGTGCCAGAGTTGCCAAGCCGAGCATCACCAAAGCCATGGATCTGGGCATCGCCAGGAGAGAGCACAGAATACCTTGCAATTGGATATACACAAAAAAGAAAAAAAATCCAATGGCGAGTTTTACAAGGCACTTGAAAACACTATCGACAAAGTCACCAAATGATATAGTCATTTTGTCAGCTGTTCGCAGTCCCATTACACGAGCGTTCAAGGGAGGTTTCAAAGATGCGTGGCCAGAAGACATTTTGGCGCCGGTAAAGTTGATCTCATTTACTTGATCGCAAACGCTGTTACTGATACGCTTTCTAGGTTATGGCCGAAGCGGCACTGCGGGCTAAGATCCAGACAAGAGATGTTCAAGATGTTCTGATAGGAAATGTCCTCGCGGAGCTAGGCTTTGCAAAGACCGGTAGAATGGCGCTCTTACACGCTGGGTTTCCGACGTCAACGACATTTCACACCGTCAATCGTCAGTGCTCGAGTAGTCTTCAGGCCCTAACACACATGGCACATGCTATCCAAGCAGGCCAAATCGATGTCGCTCTCGCTGGAGGTGTCGAAAGCATGTCGAAGAACTATCAGTCTCGCGGAATCCCCCAAGACGTGGGTCCAACGCTGCGCAACACCAAGGTCAAAGCAGCTGCCGACTGTCTCATGCCTATGGGTATTACATCGGAGAATGTTGCGAGGAGATATGGAGTTGATCGTAAGATGCAGGATGAGTACGCGCTGCTAAGCCATACTCGTGCGAATGATGCTCTTGCCGCTGGTGGGTTTCAGGCGGAGATAGTGCCGATTGAGTACATGGTGTATGACAGCGAGACTGGGGGAACCTCACAAGTTCGAGTGGCTGCAGATGATACCATCCGACCAAACGTGACTTTGGACAAGTTGGCCAAACTTAAGCCCGCATTTCTGGAGGACGGTGGTAGCACCGCTGGGAACTCGTGAGTACAGTGCAGCCTACATATTCTTAGCTTTACTCACCACCTACAGGTCCCAAATATCCGACGGCGCATCAGCAGCCATCCTCGCCCGTCGCTCATGGGCAACCGACCGTGGCCTGAAACCCTTAGCGCGATTCCTCGGAACTCAAGTTGCTGGATGTGAACCTGACGAAATGGGCATGGGTCCCATCTATGCCATTCCACGACTGTATAAGCATGTCGGTATAGAGCAGAAAGATGTTGATGTTATCGAACTCAATGAGGCATTTGCAAGCCAAACTCTGGCGTGCATCAATAAACTTGGCTTGGATGTTGATAGGGTCAATCCGAATGGTGGTGCTATCGCCATTGGACATCCAACTGGAGCGACTGGGACGAGACAGCTTGCGACGTTGATTGCTGAGCTTGGGAGAAGGGGGGATGAGATTGGAGTTATTAGCATGTGTGCTAGGTAAGTCCTTCCATGTTCCCTTGATTGAGCTGATACTGACAGGCTGTTCAGTACTGGAATCGGTGTTGCATCCGCTATAGTCATGGAATAGCTTGGTTAGATAGTTTATTTCATGTACAAATTACTTTAGTCGCACCTTGTAATAAAGACATCCGACCCCGTTCAGGTAGATCCTCGCAAGCATGACAGGTAGAGGGTTGAGTAGAAGTGATCAGTAATATTGCCATACTAGTATATACAAGTTCTAATTATCCACCGACGGCCTTCTTCTCTCTCAGTCGCTCAATCTCGGCTGTATTCAAACCTAGTACATCTCTCAGCACTTCATTGGTATGTTCTCCCAGTAGTGGTGGCGGTGATCGGATCGAAGGCTGCGTTCTGGAGTATTTGACGGGGCTGTTGAGTACTTTCAACTGGCCACAAGCAGGATGCTGAATCTCTTTTATCATGTCCCTCGCCACAACTAGACCGCCGCCGTTAGAATGCTCGAGCTAATTGATGAGTATCGCTTACCATGTGAATGCTCCAACGTGTCCTTGATATCATTGATCTTGGCATACGCGAGACCCGTACCCTCAAAGATATCGAGCCATTCTTTCGATAGCTTGGAAATTGTAATGCCTTCAATCATCCTCTCGAGTATATCACGGTTGGCTACCCTTGATGAGTTTGTCGAGAAGCGCTCGTCAGTGGCCCAATCGTCTTGACCCAGACATTTGCACAAGACACCAAAGAGTCTATCGTTGGCACCGCCAATCAAGATATCGCCGTCTTTAGTGCGGAATGCGCGGTATGGTACGACGGATGCTTGGAATCATCGTCAGTTCAAGTGTCAGTCGTATTGTGTGGAGCGACTCACGATGTGATGTTCCATATCGTCCTCCATCTCTCTTCCCTGTCACCAGCACAGATTGCGCCATGTTCGCCAGAGTCGCAACTTGACAATCACTCAAGCATACATCTAAAGCCTGACCTTGACCAGAGTGACTCCTCTCGATCACAGCTGCAAGAATACTATTGACCGCATATAGTCCAGTTGTCAAGTCAGTTACTGCGACGCCGACTTTGACCGGCGGTCCATCTCGTGGGCCCGTGATGTGCATCAGACCCATTTCAGCTTCGACCATGACATCAAAACCTGCACGACTACTGTATGGACCTGTCTGACCGTACCCAGTTATACTCGCGTATATAAGTCGAGGGTTCGTCTTGGCAAGGGTATCGTAATCAAGTCCGTATTTCTTCAGAGTTCCAGGCAGGTAGTTCTCGACGATGACATCGGCTTTGGCAGCGAGTGTTTGGATCAGTTTTGCCCCTTCTTTTTCCTTGAAAGAAACTGCTACGGATCGTTTGTTCCGATTCACCTTTACTCAGCGCGTGATAAGCATGTAATTCTCGTCAAAACTCAGACAGCGCAACACGTACCGATAAATAATATGCACTTTCGCCCTCGCCTCCTCGCCCGTCCTTATAAGGTGCAAAGGGAGGTCCCCATGCTCTCGTGTCATCACCGCGTGTCGGATGTTCGATCTTGATGACCTCGGCTCTGCTGACGAGTCAGGAATGGGATGGATTTAAGAAGCGACTTGCTACGAACCCCAGATCGCCGAGAATCTGCGCGCAATATGGCTTTCTGATGTCAGCGGCAGCTCGGACGCTTGCTACACATGGAGTACTTACACCAGCAAGAACTCGAGATATGTCCAACACTCTGATTCCAGCGAGAGGTAATCTTGGGGTTGCCGCTGTTGCGTTGCCTCTTCTGTTCAAAGCCGACTGCCAAAGCGGGGCAACCAGTTTTCTTCGCATGGCCAACATTGTAGTGAAGTCATAACACTCACTGCGATATCCGCGGGACTGGGAATTGGTGAATACTGAAGCTTATCCAAAGCGTGTAAAGATCGTTGTATAATCATTCATTCGTGTATGTATAAACATTTCACCTCGGCACTTCTGGTGTCACTGTCCCACATACGGCATCACTGACATTTGCATGTGGGGTTTGTCCAATGACGCTACTGTACCCTGGTCCATGATGGGAACATTCATTTACAACAAGTTATGAGAGAACCGATATGACAAAACTTGTATACGGTTTCTCTTCACTGTGAGCTCAGTTTCGTAGCAGATAACCTCACCCTGACATCCCGATAAGCTTCATACGACCACTGGACTTGCTTCAACTGAGAACCATGATGTGCTCAGTTCTCCGTGCACAGGCTCCAAATCGCCTCTGGACTTTCACGCAGCGCAGCTTCTCAACCTCCACGGCGTTACGAAGGATCAACAAAATCTGTGCCTCAGAAAACGATGCCATTCAGAACGTAAAAAGCGGATCTACAGTTCTTGTCGGCGGCTTTGGCTTTTCTGGCGTTCCCGAATCGCTTATTGAGGCTGTTGCCGCACGAAAAGATCTCAAAGATCTGACCGTTGTCTCAAACAATGCTGGCATGCCTGGTGTTGGACTTGGTACGTGCAATGATGTCGCTACTGATCACAATGTTAATACCGGTAGGCCGATTGCTGGAAACACGACAGATTAGTAAAATGATAGCATCTTATATCGGAGAGAACAAGGTCTTTGAGAAGATGTATCTGAGTGGAGATCTTAGTCTCGAGTTGATACCGCAGGGAACTATGGCAGAGAGATGCGCTTCTGGGGCAGCTGGTGTACCCGCATTCTATACCCCAGCGGCGTACGGCACTGTTGGTGAGTCTGGTACTTGTAGCTCGGCGGGGAAAGACTGACATTGCATCTTTACAGTGCAGACGGGCGAATTGCCTGTTCGATACAACAGAGACGGCTCTGTAGCGCTCATGTCACGGCCCAGAGAAACACGCGAGTTTCACGGCAAGAAATACATACTCGAAGAAGCAATCTTTGCCGATGTTGCTTTGGTCAAGGTCCACAAAGCTGATAGACTGGGCAACTGCACATTTCGGAAAGCACAGAACAACTTTAACGAGGCCATGGCTAAGAACGCCAAGTTGACGATTGTGGAGGCTGACGAAATCGTTGATGTTGGGCAATTGAATCCTGAGAGTGTTCATATTCAAGGGATTTATGTAGATGTCATTATTCAGAGTACGAGGCCGAAGAAGATTGAAAAGTTGACGTTCGCTCAAGATGCCAAGAGTCAAGGCGAAGGTAAGAAATCCCGATCTATACTCTAGACTCAAACCAGTTACTGACGATCACAGTTACAATAGCCAACCAAAGACGAGAACGGATCATTAAGCGAGCTTCCAAAGAGCTGAAAGACGGCATGTACGTCAACCTCGGTATCGGAATGCCACTCGCAACGCCAGGCATGCTCCCAGACGATCTAGAAGTTATTCTTCAATCCGAGAATGGTATCCTAGGCATGGGGCGATATCCAAACCCTGGGGAGGAAGATCCAGATCTCATCAATCCTGGCAAAGAGACGGTGACTTTGAATCCTGGTGCCTCGACGTTTGGAAGCCATGAGAGCTTTGGTATGATTAGAGCTGGTAAGATTGACTTGACCATGCTCGGTGCGCTGCAAGTCAGTCAATATGGAGGTATGTGCTTTCCTTCCTTCATATGGAGTGACAGAGGCTGATTTGCAAAGACCTGGCCAATTTTATGCTGCCTGGGAAGGTGAAGGGCATTGGAGGTGCCATGGACCTCGTGGCGAGCCCGGAGAAGACAAAGGTCATAATCACCATGGTACGTAATGCTTCGAACTTGCCAAGATAAATGGCGTACTGATCGTCAATTCTAGGAACACGTTGACCGCAATGGAAACCCCAAGATCCTAGAAGGTAAGTCAGACACTGTGGTCTTATCAAGTCAGTATTACTGACACGCGCTGATAGAATGCACGTTCCCGCTCACTGGTCCACGATGCGTATCTAGAATCATCACTGACCTAGCGGTCTTCGACTGTACGCCTGAAGGTCTGATACTCAGGGAGTTGGTGGATGAGGTTGAGATGGATGAGCTGAAGAGCAAGACGGGCGCGGCGTTTAGGATCGCTGATGACTTGATACCGTACCAGATTTAGCTGTGAAGTAGAATAACCAGCGTGTAGATTACCAATTTGTCGCCATTTCTGTGATTGCTCATATCGACCCGAACGTGATGATTTATATGCTGGATGTTCATTGATATCTACCTTATCTAACAACTCCTTACGATGCATTCTCAGCCAAGGTATCGTCAACCATGCGCTGCGCCGACCCCAAATAATTAATAGGATCACAGAGTCTTTCCAGATCCTCCAAAGGCAGATGCTCGGTCACCCTCTCATCCTTTTTCAACGTATCAAGCAACGTACCCCCATCCTTACTCTCAATAGTCACCTTACAAGCCTCATACACAATATCATGCGCATCCTGCCTCCCCACAAACTTCGCCAACGCCATCATCAGCGCCTCGCCAACAATAAGGCCCCTCGTAGAAGCGAGATTAGCCGCCATGCGCTCCTTATCCACCACAAGACCAGCAAGCGCAAACTCAGCTTGGTGCAGAGCACCGACTGCTATGACGAAGCTCTCGGGTATGGCTACCCATTCTAGATGCCAAGGTCCTGATGCACGTTCAAAGTCGGATACCATGGCGTCGAGAACGAGACTAGCGTTGGAGCGAAGGATTTTGGAGGCGGCGAGGATGACTTCGCTGGAGATGGGATTGCGCTTTTGGGGCATTGTGGATGAAGCACCGCGGTGGGGGACGAAGGGTTCAGCGACTTCGCCGAGCTCATTGGAGGACATGATGATTAGGTCCAAGGCGATTTTGCCGAGTGAACCACCGATTAGGGCTAGGAGGTTGGTCACTTCAGCGATACCATCTCGGGCAACATGCCAGGTAATAGATGGGTTCTCCAGGCCAAGTTCAGCTGCGAGCTGTTTTCGCACGTTGACGCCCTCCGGGCCATCTCCGAGAGAGGCCAGAGTCCCAGCTGCACCTCCATACTGAACGACAAGAGCACGACTCTTCAGCTGCTGAAGCCGCTCCCTATGACGGTATAAGCTTGATAGCCACACAGCACATTTGTAGCCAAAGGTAACGGGGAGGGCATGTTGGAGATGCGTCCTTCCAGCCATGGGTGTATCCCGATACGTAACCGCAAGATCTTGAAGGGCATTTATCACGCCAGTCAACTTGGTCTCAACGATCTCAAGTCCAGACTTGATCTGCAAGACACTCGCTGTATCCATGATATCCTGTGTTGTAGCGCCCCAGTGTAGGTACTTTCCAGCAGAGCCGCACATGTCGTTCAGCTGCCGCACAAGAGGAAGAATGGGATAGCCGACGACATCAGTTTCGTTGCGCAGCCGATCCATGTCGAGGCTGGCAGCATTGGCTTTGGAGGTGATGTCGGCGGCGGCATCGGCGGGAATGACACTGCATTGGGCTTGAGCTCGGGCTAGAGCAGCTTCAACGTCTACGCATCTGTTGATGTAGGCTTGGTCACTGAAGACCTATCAAGTCAGTTAGTCAATTGTCAATGGATAAGAGGGTTGGTACGGTGCCTTGCATTGCGAATCTCGTCGGTACCGAATAAGTTCCGAAATATCACAGAGTCAATTGCGCTGACTGATCCAATTGAGCGGCGCTGAACAAGCGTTGGCAGCTGTATACAGGCATTCCAGCGGTGTGTATGAGCTTGAGAGAATTGGGTAAGCACCCTGGAAGATTGGCGTGTGCGTAGCATGATTGGCAAAAGGGAATCCCAAGGATTGGAGTCTAGGAGCAGAAACCAGGCAACTACCGTAATTTGATATCAATTGCTAGTCCCACACGTTGTCAACTAATTAAACATACGAGTTTCTCACAAGGTTGAGGGGTAAGAATTCCCTCTCGAGGTCTCATTATGTGGGAGCTCCATATCCCCACATGCGACGTCACATCACATCTCCCACTTACAGGCCCATTTGTGCATCTGCCGTTCGGTAATAAACATGGGACTTGTGGTGAGGTTCTACCAATACGCCCGGAGAATAAAAGGAAAATGAACCATTGGAATAGATCCCAACCATCTTGGACTTGAATAATCACAACAATCATATCACAAGTATTATACCACAAACATCAGTATGGTCGCCGCTATCAAGAGACGTGAACCAGCCACCGATCCCCAAAAAGTCTTCCACTACACAGACCTCCAGCGCACCAAACCCACCCGCGAGAATGACCCCTACGAATATCAAGCAGGCTGGGGGAACCGCCATCAATCAGAGGTCATCCCCGGCACTCTCCCCGCCGGCCAAAACAACCCCCAGGACAGAGGCTTTGGTCTGTACACTGAGGGTATCACCTACTCTGCTTTCGCAGCTCCTCGCGGCCTGAACATGAGCACTTATATGTATCGTGCGAGACCATCAGCTGCTCATCAGGGATATTCTAGTATTGAGACAAAGTCTCATATTGAGAACTGCTTTTTATCGCTGAATCCCAAGGTCGAGCCTTTGTATCAGCAGGCTGAGTGGTCGCCTTTTCCACTACCGAAGGAGGATGAGATTGTTGATTTTACGGATGGGTTGCATACACTTGCTGGAAGTGGTGATCCTAATCTTCGTCAGGGAATCGCTGTGTATGTTTATATGATCAATGCTTCTATGGTCAACAAGGCCTATTGCAACACAGACGGCGACTTTCTCATCACTCCTCAACTCGGAATCATAGATGTCCAAACAGAAATGGGCCGTCTCTTCGTCCAACCAGGCGAGATATGTGTTATCCAGCGTGGTGTGCGCTTCCGAATCAATCTCCCAGAGGGTGTTCCTGTTGCTCGTGGCCATATCGCTGAGGTCTGGGGATCCATGTGGGAGCTTCCTGACCTGGGGCCCATCGGAGGACATGGTTTGGCCAATCCTCGAGACTTTCTTTATCCTGTTGCTCATATCGACGAGGATCTACATGTCCTTTTCAAGATTGTTGTCAAGAATAACGGAAAACATGTTGTCATCAGTCAGGATCATAGTCCATTTGATGTCGTTGCATGGCATGGGAACGCAGTTCCCTACAAGGTAAGCTTCTGACACAGGATACGAGCAAGACAGACACTAACTACATCAGTACGACTTGACCAAGTTTGCATCTCAGAACAGTACCAGTATTGATCATACTGACCCAAGCATCAATACCGTCTTGACAGCAAAGTCATTCGATCCTCATGTTCCTCTCGCAGATTATCTATGGTTCGGTCCTCGCTGGGACGTAGCTAGCAACTCTCTGCGCGCGCCATACTACCATCGAAACAGCGCAACCGAAATGTTAGCTTGCATCTACGGGGCAGGTCTCGGCCGGTCCGATGACTTCTTGCCTGGTGGGTGTAGTTACGAGGGCGGGCATACTCCACATGGTGGCTTCGGTGAGGAATACATCACCGAATCTATCTTGCAGCACAATGAGCCACGCAGAATCTTAGAGAGTGAGTGATGAATTACGAGAGATAGGAAACAGTTAATAACGCCGAGATAGATCAAATGACCATCATGGTTGAGTCGTCACGCACTTTCTTATTCACGGAGTATGCCCGAGAGATCTGTGGTGTTCTCCACAAACAAGCCACCGACTATCGAGTTTGGGATAATTTGCCCGATCGTTTCTCAGCACATCCGTTGACCAAGCAGCTTCTTGAACGTGTTGCGAAGGATAAAGCTAACCAGAAGAAGGCGGTTGATTACTATCATTCTGTTAAATTGCTGGACGCCAAGGGTCAGCCTACGCAAGTCCTGCCTCATGAGATTAATGGCCATGCAAAGATTAGCGCTGTTGATGAAGCGGTTTGGAACTAGTGCAATTTAGCGGAAAGTATCTTGAGTGAAGAAGTGTCTTGTATTTGTATTTGATAGCGCTATAGGTTCTCGCGTATGAATGGTATCCTGTCTAGTAACGAATCACTGTATGTGTTTGAGCTAATTGTACATACCAAATCGTCAATATCCCAAGTGTGCATTTGCTTCAGTCACCACTCAAACGGTCGTCGACTTCGATCAAAGAGTCGCTCATTATCCGTAGAATATGACACAGTTCTTTCGCATTCCACTTCCCAACCTCTTCCAACAAGCTCGCAAACTCGAGCAGTATCATCTTGGCGGCATTATACCCCGCTTCACATACTGTTCCAGAAAAGCTAATACTTCCTCCATTATGTATAAACTGGCTGGCAGTATTATCTCCAGCGTTGTCTACTTCCGACATTGGATCACATAGATTAGTCCAGTCGATATCGTTGAGTAACTCAAAGGATTCTGCATCTGCATCAGTATTTCCTTCGTTCGGTTGCATCATAAAGACATAAAGTCCAAGTACGAGTGCAGCTGTGAATAAAGACATGTCGGAGTGGAGCATAATACCATCGTTTGCTCTTCGACGGCTCATGGCGACGTAGATACCCGCGGCGTGGAGACAGGCTCGCCGAGCATGTTGGGTCTGACTCCAGTTGGAGATCTCCTGCAATGCAGCGTATGCACTTTCAGCCCCATTGCGGCCGGAGGCCATCTCGAAGATCTCAAGATTGGCTAGTACGTTGAGGTTCAGGAAGTGCCACTGCGCGATGCAGTTGGGGTTCCTATACCGAAGAAACCTCGAGTAGTTTGTGTAGATGTCGCCCAGCGCACGCAATATGTTGTTGCCAGTTTCAGTCGATGCATCAACACTTGCAGGAGGCTGATCTCCATTGATATCCCTTGTTCCTCTAGTCTGGTGTTGATGTTGAAGAATGCGTGCCCAGACAACAGACAGCAAGCCAGTCATTCCAATCGGCGACGTTTCTTGAAGCGGGGTCAAGGTTATAGTTGGAGTGTGCATTCGTATTATGGCAGGCTCTGTGGTTACACTCGTGCCAGCGTTACGACAGCTTCTCCATGACTTTGCTGATGAGGACCGATAAAGGTCGATGGATGTCGACATCTCCAGTTGCACCACGGAGGTACAGATGAGTGGCTCCGTGTTTAGTCTAGAGGCCCACCATGCATCGAGCATGATCAGCGTAGATATTAATCTTCATACAATGACCATGGTCAGTATTTGCAGATCCCGGGTACAAAGCTTCGCATACCTTTTAAAGCTTTCCGTTCGAGCCCATGCTTTCCATGCCCAGTCATCGCTTTGGCCTGGGTCATGAATAAGCCTGGCCGAGTTCGCTTGGCTGAGCAAATTATCGATGCTGAACGATGACGGTCGCGGCATCAGTAAACCTGACATCTTGACGAGCTACAAGTACACCATGCCATTAGCCTTATACCGACAAGAGAGACATGGGGTATCTTCAACGTACGTTCATGGTCTGGTAGTAAAGCATCCTGGATAAGAAGGCATCGCGAGCACCCTACAATGAGTCTAAGCATTAATCCACTGATCCGATACATCTCATCAGTACTTACATGGGGCGAGCTTATTGACCACGCCATCAGTAGCAAGGCCGCCGATGCGAGACGCTCAACAAGCTGCGCCGACCCCTCTGGGCCAAAGGATGGCGCCGCCAATTGAGAACAACACTTCTCCGTCGCTGCCTACAAAAGTTAGCCCGGTACTTCCGGTTGTTGGACCGGAAAGTGACATTACTGGCAAGTAGTGTGCTGTGAATGGCTTCACATATGATGAATCGAGAATGGCTAGTCCGAGAAGACACAAGGAGAAGACGACTGAGTTGGATGCTGACTTTGCTGAAAACGTGGGTTGATGTATAAACGGGACGAGAGAATGAGGCTGTCGAAAGGCGATAGTGAGACCGAGATTTAATAATCTCGCTGGTAGAAAGTCAACGCTGGAACCAGATGAACCAAACTCGCGAATGAGATCCTGTCGCTTTTCTTCATCCATTCCCCATCTCGATTCATTCTCAGTGCCAATTGTCGAGCTTGGCGACGACTGTGAAATAGAAACATCTGTGAAGATACCGTCACCTCGATAGTTTACCACGTCCGCCCAGACTTTGGATGCGATTTGACTCGCTGAGTGCGTTCGGTTCCTAGGCCACAACGCGGCTACCCTGGCGAAGCGCTCCAGTGGGATACTACTGACAGGATCAACGCTGTTACTCGAAGCTTGTGAGCCACGGATGCCAGGTGAAGTTTCGCCGAGACTGAAGTCGAGAAAGTCCAAATGGCTGAGATTGGGCTGTAAAAGCTCTAGAGCCCCCGCATAATGCAACAAATCTGCGTTGCTCATCGACGTAAGGGATGCTTCATTATTTCCCCAAGGAGCTGACGAAGCAGCCATATGGGAATGAAAGACATTTGCTCTGGTGCTCAACGACACTGCAGGACTGAGAAACTCGGCATTGGCGGTGAACAAAGTCGGGGTAGCGGTCTCCAGTGTAGTCTCTACCATATGATGTGAGAAGCTCATCGGCGATAGTTCATTATCATGTTGACCAACAGCCGGAGAATGGTTCGCAGGCCGTCGATCATCAAATGACTCTTCCAAAGCCAACTTTGTTGATTCAGTCGGTTGTTCGTGAAGAGCTTGAAGCATCGATACCGTAGCCAATGCATCAAGGTCAGACGTCGAAAACTGCGCCATTGAAGTATCGGCAGTTATCGAGCTGTCCTCCTGCTGTTGCGGCTGCCCATTATCACGCATATGGTTATTCTCCTGCTGATCTGTCTCGCCTTCTGATCCCTCTTCTGGCTCCGGCGGTGGTATTGAACACACGTTGATGGAATCGGCCAGTACACTTTGTCGGCGCTGTCGGCTCTTTTCGTTCGTTGAGACATCGGATCTTCGGCGCTCTCTTTGTGAGGTATCGCTGTTTGGATGAAAGTACCTGACATGACGAAGGAGGACATCGCTGTCGCAATCAATACCAGCACCGACAAAAAACTGAACATGGCTTCTTACCTCCGTGCATAGCCGCGACCGCACGTATCGCATCGATATGGCTTCTCCCCCGTATCTAAGCATGGGTCAATTTGGCGACTGGGACGGTTCCATGTGGGGATGATCTTACGAGAGCGCTCGTGGCGGAGAAGATGCTCTGTCTTGTGGAACGTTCGGTGACAGTATGAGCAACCTTTCATGATATGACGCTGGCAGCGATTGCAAAGCCAGCCTAAAAGAGAACTAAACAATTCCGGAAGGTAAAATAAACACTCTGAACATCCAAAGGTCCATGAAGAATGCTCTGAAGCTGCGGCTCCGCTGGTGCAATGATGAAATCTGGGGTTGTCGCGGGGTAAGGAAACATCAATCTCTCATCTGTTGTTTCTGTCTCACATGCAAGGCATCTACAATCAGCCTGGGAGAGAGAAATGCGGTCTGGGCTCTGCTGTGCACCTGGTACCGCTTCATCTGCCGAAGCAGATCGACAAGGTCAAGCGGAAGATCCGGGGTACATGGATTACAGAGGCTCAGCCTTTCCAAAGCAGCCAATCAGATGATGTTAAATTGAGTAGATGACCTCTACCCCGCAATCCTGACTATAGAGTTTAATAACAGCGTTGATAGCTCGGTTAAACGGGCGCTGGCTCAGAATTACTTACCCTGGATCTATGTGGGGCTTTCCATGAGCATGAGCATGATTGTATGTGGGACAAGATATTAAATGGACTCTAGCATGGCTAACAGGCCTTGGCGAGCAAGAAGACATCAAACCTTGATATAGTATTAGAAAACAAACTCTGTAAAAGGTATCGTAAACTTATCCTAAGCTCATACTAAGCTACCTAAGTCTCTTCGTCGTCTAGGATCAAGGTCCTGAATTATCTTTTCTCCCCTAGACATACTGTATACAATCGTGTATGGGCAATAATTCATAGTTGTAGATGGCTAGTCTTGAGTCCATGGCTGTAGCTAGTTATACTGAGATAAAAACGCTTCTGCACTCTCAAGCTCCCTCTTGATGGCTTCAACATGTGCTGCACTTCGTGGCTTAATGTTAACCTTGTATGGCAGCGGACACACCAAGTTCGCCGATGTATATGCATCTTGATCCAGCGGTTTAACCTTTCCGGTTACAGGATCAATTGGTTCAGAGAATTCGAACGCCCACAATAACTTGGCAGTGATTCGCCACATACTGCGCTCGGCCAGATGGATTCCAGGGCGGATACGTCGTCCAGCACCATACCCATAGTGATGTAAAGATGGAAGTTAGCTAGTGTCTCTCAGTGCTGTTGAGGGTTGTACTTATCTCGTTTCTCATAATCTGGACCAACGGCGTATTCGTTTGCAAGCTTTGTATGAGACAGGTAGCGATCGGGGTCGAAGGTGTCATGACTTCCATAGTAATCCTTATCATGATGCATCGCCCAAACGCCGACGAATATGGTACTTCCTTTGGGGATCAACATTCCATCGTAGTAGTCGTCTTTAAAAAGGTTAGTTACCGCATGAGTTTCATCGGTAGGAGCAACATAGACTTACCCTTGGTGACGGTATGAGGCAGTCCTAGATCGGAACTATTCCAATGTCCAGTAAGCACTCTGATGAAGAAGATATCGATCACAAGGTCAACTTACGTTGGCCTCCATCGCAAACCCTCTTTGACGATAGCATTGACATAAGGCATCTTCGTAAAATCCGAAAACACGGGCGCTCGTTCAGTGCCGCAAATAGCATCAATCTCCACTCTCGCCTTCTCCTGGAACTTTGGATATTTTGCCAAAGCTAAGATCAAAGTCAGGATCTGATTCGCTGTGGTATCAGCAACTGCTTCCATCAACTCGCCGAAAAGGTTGTTGAAGGCATGCTGCGACATGGGCCAGCCATTCTTTTCATACTCATCCAACTTCATATCAATCATACACTCTCGACGATCACCTCTGGCGCGTCGGTCATCGACCATTGCGCGCGCTTGGCTCCAGACTTTGTCCATGTGATCTCGCATCTTGTAGACGCGGGACTTCCATTTTCCGGGGATGTACCAGAGCCATGGGATGAGGTCGACGGGAGGCGTCGCACCGGGTTCGATCGCTTCGAGCCACTATAGCAGAGTTAGACATAGGTAGATGAGAAGGAAAAGCCTGATTAACCTTTTCAATCACGGCGGAGACATCCTTGTACCAGAATGAATCCAGAGTCGTCGCTCGGAAACCCCAGGCTAAGATGGCAGCCACAGAAGAGCCGTACAGGCGCGAGTACGAGCAGTAGTTGCTAGGATCATCCAAAAGACGATTCATCAAGATGGCAGCCCTAAACGAACCCTCGGTCAGCTCTAGTCTACTTTGTCATGGTGCAAGACTACCTACTCAGTCTCCTGCACCCTGAAATGCTTCTCATCCAAAGACTTTGGGTTCAAATTGCGCGTCACAACAGTTCTCTTTTCTCGCCAAGATGGACTCTGACACTCCATGGTCATATGATCGCCTCTCGTGATGAACAGCGGGACGATATTAGGAGGCCGATCCGAGCAGATGCTGCCTTTCTTATCAAGAAGTTCATGGACGGCTTTGCGGTCGCAGATCACAATGATGTTGCCGGAGCCGATTTTGAGAGAGAAGATTTCGCCGTATTGCAGAGACCATTCCATGAACCTGGGTTCGTTAGTGACCCACTAAAACATCTAATTGCAGTGTTCTTACTTCTTTCCAAGGCCGGTGGTGGGAATCATGTGCATGTTGCCTAGGATCGGGACCGTAGGAGGCCCCGGAGGCATTGAAGGATCCCGTCTGCCGATCCGGAGGTGGTCTCGTGAGAGCATTCAAGGACCCAATTATCAAGCCGAAGCTGGACCGTCCGAACTCCATCCGCTAACCCCTCGTTTCCATTCTGTCACTAACTCTTCAGCCACCATCTTCTTGTTTAGGCGGGGTAGCAGCATTCCGCTTCTATTTGTGCCTCTTAATAAGAGTGCTGCTTGATATGGGGGTTTCGGAGATGGGTAACCTAGAAATCTAATTCTCAACCACCATCTCAGATAACAGCTAAATCATGGCTTCAAACAACGGCACGCCCAGCCTGGAATCCCTTCTCCAACGTTTCCAACTCCTCGAAGACAAAGACGCACTAGCAACCCTTCTCAACCGCTACTGCAACACAGCAGACGACCACAAATGGGACGAATTCGCCGACTGTTTCATCCCCAACGGTGTTCTCGGGTTCGAGAGCTGGGGCGATATTGTAGGCGTTGAAAAGATCGCTGCTGCTGCTCGCAGCGCAGAAGACAGATTTCAAGGTCTACAGCACTCCATAAGCAACCTGCAGTTCACGGTTGACGGAGACACGGCTGAGGGAGATGTTATCCCTGGTTTTCTGCAACGATGGATACAAGCAAGCCTCATGAGTACCATGCCTTTGGAGGACATTATCGTTTCAAGTTTCAGCGTACGGATAAGGGATGGAAGATAGCGAGAATGCAGCTTAAGAAGATCTGGGCGCAAAATGAGGATACAGAACGTGTATTTGGATAGACCTAGCCAGAAGAGGACAAGGTGGAAGGACATTGCATCAGTTATCTGGCTCTGTATCTTTCAACTTCAATCCTCAGCTTGCCCTCCTTCGCCAGCTGACACACCTCCCGCAAATCCTGCCGTGTACTTCCAAGAGACAGTGAAAACTTAGCACTCGTCGCGATCAAGTTCCACCCTAAACGCACAGATCCTCCTTGCATGCCAGGCACAGAGACGAATCCCTGGGGTCGAACGACACTTACTGCTAGCTGCAAGGTTGTGTCGCTTCCAACAAAGTCCACCACGCCGTCGACCCCTCGGTTTGAAGTAATCCGGTCAATTTCGGCCTTTGAGCTTGCATTAGAAAGTATCGCTTCATCTGCTCCCAGCTCTTTCGCGAGGGTTAGCCTCTCGTTTGAGTTGTCGGCAGCAATGATGCGAGCAGAGGTGAGAAGTCGGAGGAATTGGACAGCGTATGATCCAAGCCCACCAATGCCAATGACCAGAACGTATTGGCCAGGGCGTGCATTTCTGAAAATGTCCTTGCAGCTAGCATAGGCCGTCACGCCCGCGTCGGTGAGAGGAGCGTACAGCACTGGATCCTCATGACCGATAGATACAAGCTCAGTACGGGGTACAACGAGGTACTCAGCCAAGCCACCATCAAAACCACAGCCCCTCGTCATTCCAATAGCGCCTCGCTTAAAGTGTTCGCAGTGCGTCCCAAAGCGGAAACGCACAGGAATTCGCCGAGAAGCTTGCTCGTGAGGCACACAACCGGCTTTCCCTACGCTCAACAGTCGCCGAGATCGACGAGTACACTTACCAGAACTTACATAAACTGCCCGAGAACGCTATTGTATTCTTCGTCGCTTCGTATGGCGATGGAGAGCCAACGGACAATGCGGAGCAATTTTATAACTTCTTAAGTAATGAGGACGATGATGGACCTTTTGACAGACTTCGAGACCATGGTCTTCAAAATTTGTCATACGCCGCTTTTGGTTTGGGAAACAGTAGCTACGCCCACTTCAACGCTGTGATCCGTAAAGTCTACGAGAGACTACAGCTCTGTGGTTTTTGACGCCTTGGGCCTGTTGGCGAAGCTGATGACGGCAAGGGAACAAATGCTGAAGATTTCATCGAGTGGAAAGATAAGATGTGGCCTCAAGTCATAGAGGCTTTCGGTCTGGTCGAGCAAGAGGCTGGTGAGCGAGAACCTGCTTTCGAGGTGGTAGAGATACCCAACCATCATGGCCCAATCTTCCAGGGGGACTACACAGATAAGAACCTCGCACAGCAGGCACAAGCTCTCACGAACCATTATTTTTCACCTATCTCGGAGTCAAGGCTGCTCTCAGATGCTGGTGGTCGATCGTACATACATGTCGAGCTGGACCTCAAGGATACCAAGCTTGACTATCAGACGGGTGACCATCTTTCAGTTTCCCCAATCAACTCTGACGTCGAAGTCGAGCGCTTCTTGAAGGTATTTGGTCTATGGCACAAGAGACACGAGACCATTCGGGTAAGATCTCTCTCGGATGACCTGAACCCTCCATTCTCGTCTCCGTGTAGTTATGAGTCCGCAGCTCGTTTCTACACCGATATTTGCGGTCCTGTCTCCCGTGAAGTCGTATCCACCTTTGCGAATTCCGTTTCGGATGCTAAGCAGAAGACAACGCTTCGCCAACTCGGCAAGGATAAAGACGCATTCTTGGCTCTTACAGGGGGGAACTTTTACAACATTGCTTCCATGATGGAGGCACTGTTCCCTGGGGAGATCATCAATGTTCCTTTTGCAATCATCATCGAAGCCATGCCGAAGTTGCAGCCGAGATACTACTCTATATCTTCCTCTTCCGCCCTTGATACTGGCAAAGTCTCCATCACTGTGGCTATCGAGTCATTTCCAATGCCCAACACGAATCGACACTTCTCTGGTGTCGCGACGAACTTTATGTTGGATGTTGCTTCTGCCGCAAACGAAGTTATTTCCAGGAGCCGAGTGCAGCCGATAACCTACACGCTGCCTACAAAGCGACCTTAGCTACAGCCCTCCCTTTCAGTCTTTCTCCGAACTTCGACATTTCGACTACCGTCCGATCCGACAATACCTGTTCTTATGGTTGGTCCTGGCACCGGCGTCGCCCCCTTCCGCGGGTTTGTGAGAGAGCGCGTTGCTATACATCGACAAGGCAAAGACTTTGCGCCCATGACGCTATTGTATGGTTGCCGCAAGAGGAAGAGCACAGAAGACTTCCTGTACGAGGAAGAGTGGAAGGTTAGTTCTCTTCAAGCTCTGGTAGATAGTGACATCGCTAACCTGTCTGCCATTGAAGGCATATTCCGCTGAGTTGGGCGCCAAGTTCAAGATGTACACAGCGTTTTCACGAGAGCAGAAAAACAAGGTGTACGTTCAAGATCTTATCCTGCAACAATCGAAGGACATAGCTTCTCTGATTCAGAACGGTGGGCACGTGTATGTTTGCGGAGACGTGGGCATGGGTCGAGGAGTGACAGAGACGCTTTGCAAGATCCTTGTTTCTGAGACCAATGTGCCTTTGGCTGATGCACAGCGGGTATTGTCCGACATGCGACATTCACATCGATATCAGGTTCGTGTCTCATGGGTCCTTCCATTCGTGTTGATTTCACTAACAACGTGACAGGAAGATGTCTGGTAGTGTATCAGTCATAAGGTTTGGGCATCAGTGCGTAACGTGAGTTGGTATTGGAGGCCGGGAACGCCATGGCTACAATTACGTACGTCAGGGGGCACGACCACTATGCTTCACGTGAGGATTATTATTACTGGTTCATACATCCTCATTAAACAATACAACAGATGCTCCTCAGTAGTTCGATGATAGTAAAAGAAAGGATTTAGATGAAGTTGAATTCAATTGAGCTGAGCCGCTATGTAGTCGATGGTTGCCTGCAAGGTTGAGCTATGTCGTTGGCGGCTGACTATGAGGTTGAGCTTTAGGCTGCTAACACAGGGAACACGGACACGATATTGATCCCCATAACTATAGATCCCTCTGGCCTCTATCAGGTGAATTTCCCCACCTCTAACATATCCTCCACTTATTCGCTCGTCAGATTGCGATCGGCATGCCGTCGTTTGGGGCATTCTCATCCTCAGATTACGTCTCGAACTCCATCACCGCCTTCTTGTTGTACTCCTCGAACTTGACCTCTCCCTTATGGTTCACCCAGACCTGTACCACCTTGAAAGCGGCGATGAAGTCGTCAGATTCGCCCCAACCAAACTCCATGATGTTTTCATTGTGATGGGCGAGGCTCATGTCTAGCGAAACGATGGGGTTTTGAGGAAGAGAAAAATCGCGACCAAAGACCACGCGGCTAGTAACCCGAGAAGAGTATGACGCAACACGGGCAATCTTCAGTCCTGTGACCATGTACACTGGTCGCTTGAACTTGCTTGACGGCTCGTAAGACTCGTCATCAAGATTTTCGATTGTATCCTTGACATAGGACTCGGTCGGGTTGAAGGCAAGGGTATCGAGATGCTTGCATGAGAGTACCTTGTGATCACCCTCGGGACGTCGTGATGGTGCACGGGGGCCCAGGCCAATCAGTCCCAAAGCTCTTTCCGTCAGGGAATGATGATCTGAGTGGAGGTCGAGGATGTCAATATCAACTGAGTCTTGAGTCTCGACAGGAAGGAGCTGGGAGGCCGGGATCGGCTGAGGATGGTCTAGGTTGAAAGAATGGAATCCCCTGAGGTCGCCGAGGATGGTGCCGAGTTTGATGAGCCCCCGTGGGGGTGCTGGCGCGTCAAAGTGTGGGGCGAGAAAGTACTCTTTGACCATCTTTGCGGGTGAAGCTTTTGTTTTAGTTATGGAAGAGTTATGAAAGGATTGATAGAGAGGTTGCGGGATGGTGCGGTGGTGAGATAGTGAGTTGATGAGGTGGATGGGGTTGATGGGGTTGATGGGTTGTGAGTTTAAATAGGATTCGTCCTGAACACAGAAAGGTGAAGAACATAAATGAGAGGGAGAGAGATGGAACGCGAACAAACTGGTTGTTGTTGAACAAGGTCACATGTTGGTGGAACAACGGTACATTCACCGTGATTCACTGCACAGTGGACACTGCTATATTGGCTTTGTACGACTTGAACTTGTTATGTGTGGACACTGGCAGGTGAAATGATTTAGAACTGAACTTCACTGAAGACACCTTGGTGGACTGATCATGAGTTCTTTATACGGGATATTCTTCTTGCGGGAATGCGGAAGACCTTTGACGAGCTATATCTCAACCAGGCTACCAGATGGCCAAATAAAAGAGTATAAAAATGGCTCTCCTGATATTAGTGTTCAGAGTACAAGTAATTGAGATTTTTCTGATTTAATCGATACGAAATGCAACTTTGCTCAAGCCTAGCTCCCCGAGATTACAATTCCTTAAGTATAAGACAATTGTCCACCACCTTGACAACGCACTCGCCGGAGGGTCCAACAATTAAGGCCAATTTGAATGCTTGAATTGATTAGCAATGGGTAGTAGATCAGGTGCGACTTAGAGCACTAACCTTCTTTCATATCTTGAGGAAGGGCATCTTTTGTCCCCCTTGCCCACACAATCTCCTCAGTCCACCTTCTTTCGTCCCTTTTACCCAGCTCCCTAGTGATTTCGATAATTTTAGAATCGCTAATCTTGATGTGATCTCTATACTTTATTTGCCAATGAAGTGGCTTTCTTCGTGAGCTATTCGGGCTGGTAGTAAGTACTTTGGATAGCGGACTCTCGGCAATACCAATACCATAATGGGCTCGTGCGCTATTCTCGCTCAGAGCGCGGACCTCGCCCTGATGAGTACTGTACTTCTCTCGTAGTGGCGGTATAGTTATACTCTATTGTAATGTCAACCAATAGAGATTCTCCAACGACATCGCCAAGTGACCAACTTGTCTACGTGTGGAGACATGTGTCACACAGTAGATCTGAGAAAGGCGGGGTCGCGTCCCTTTGTCTCCAGTCATGATCTATCATCAGGAGCCTTGTTGGCCCGACCTGACAAACTATCCAGATTAGAGTGTGCCCAGTTCAGCCGCCTCTTTGTTTCAACCTCCTGCAAGCAGCTAAGCACGAGCCCGTCGTGCTACCCTTTCCTTTGTCTTTTCTCCTTTCTCAACTCACCAAAAATAGACTGGCTCTTGGCCCAGAGCTGGTCCCTCGCTCAGGATGCGCCCTGGCCTTTCATTATCCCATTCAACACCCGTTGTCATTTTCATGTCATTTGCCAAAAGGCTTCATCCGTTCGAGGTTTTCAATTGTTTACAAGCTCATTTTCCCGCCCGTTTTGCGCGCGTCCATGACTAACTATGTCATCCCTCCAGAGCAACCAAGGGTCAGCCTCCGTCACCGACAAATCTGGAACAGGGCCTTCGAATGCCTCCTTGGCTTCCGATACTGCATCAACAAAAGTTTCCGGATCGGATCCCTCAAGTACCGGCTTGACTGAGGTTTCTACAGTAGCGCCAACAAAGGCACTAGTAGAAACCGCGACAGCAACCATAACGAAGACCTCCATTGCAATCACAACTACAACGCGCATAGGCAGTGGCACGGGGTTGTCTAACGCTGCAATCACTGGAATTGCAGTCTCATCTGGAGTCGCGGGGGCCGCGTTGGCCCTTTGTGCCATTGTTGCCTTGCTATACCTGAAGAGACGCCATCACGAACCTGCACCGAAGACAAGTCTCGAAGAGCCGCCAAAGTCATCACCAAAGAATCTGATGGTAGTTCCAGGCTTCGTTGGGCTGCCAACTCGCGTCCTGCTTACTGGAGCGTCTGACAGCGATATAAAAAGTGAGCTCGGCTCTCTGGGCAACCTGATCGAGCGTCACGTCGATGGCCATTACCACCGTGACAAGATCTCGGCAACATCAGACACTCTCCACGCATCGCTTCGAGATCTTCATTTGACAGAGGCTACCTGTAGCATGATTGCGAGATTGTGCATCGACCCAAATACCCGATACACCGGCATCCGTCATCTATTGGCACTTGTCATCTTTTCAAACCTTGACCTTCACACAATTGATTCACTTTCTCTATTGCCGCCAACTGTCAAGGAATTCTCTCAGTCGCGGATCAGGGCGCCCAAGCAGGAACAGGATCCTCTGAGTAACCAGACCCCATGAACCTCCAAAAGTTATTCATCGCTGACATCAAGTACACTGCCTAGTTGAAACGGCTTTAATATCCTGGCATCAAATTACGTCGTTCCTCATGCACGAAAAACCTCACACGCGGAGTCCTTTGCACCCACCTCCAGGCGTGGAGTCTCAGATCGATGCGCTCATCACTGTGCTACAAAAGGCTTTGGATCATTTCGTTCCAAGAGACAAGGGCCACTCCCTCAAAGACCAACAGGCTAGCCTCGCTGGTGTCATTCGCGAATGTGTCAAGTTTGGTTACGAGGTATTTTCGCATCCGAGCGATTGGGAGTTCACATTTGCACAAGAAGAGCACGGAATTATCGTTGTTCCAGGTCTCAAACAGCGTAGCAGCAGCACAGGGGACCTATATGATCCGCCAAAGCTAGTTTTGGCTCCCGAGATAGTCGCTGTCCCTAAGCACTATGTTTATAATGGATAGATCCACCGGTCCTCGGTAGAAGTTGGCGCCGGCTGCTTCTATACTGTTTGATGCTAAGCCACATGAGCGCAGGCTGGGGAGTAATGAAACATATATTGAGAGTTGTAGGTGCCCAGTAAAGTGTCACGGCGGCCTCTGTCTCTGGTCACCTGTCGGTGGGGAAGGCTGAGAGCTGAAAATAGCTCGGTGAGGAGGCGCACGGCATCTCTTGTCCCGACGGTGACAAGAAGCGATCGCAGCCTAATCGGATCTAAGAAAAACGTATTCTGATTCAGAAAAGAGAGAATGGCAGCTTGGCAGCATCATCGCAGGGGATAGATGATAGCGCAAGTCGGTGGTAAATGAGACCGATGAAGAAATCTCCACGGCGACCAGAGATTTTCCAGTGTGTTGGCTTGATAGGTCTCGTTGAGGCGTCATAAGCTTTAGGTATCAATCGGCGACCAGAGAGAAAAGGTCTGATAAGCAGCAGGCTCACATCAGTTCTGCGCCATCCCAGCAATCATCGTCAGATGAGATGGCGATAGAAACCATCGACAATGCGGATCGGGACGGCAGTATCTCAGCACCCTCAAGCATTAACAGCTCCTTGTTTAACTACGATTGCTCTGGATTTCTCTCAATGCTTGAGGACACGTCACAATCAAACCGTCAGCCATCGAATGAGGATCAGGCTCAGCCAGTCGAAACCTCGTCCATACAACAGGATTCAATGCCCCTGGACACCCTTTACCTCGAAGGGCAAGCTAAGTCGGTCCAGATCATGGTTGGTGACGCAAAGAAACTCTTTCACCAGCTCATGGACCAAGAAGCCGAAGCGGAGTACTACAGTATATCAGAGCTACACTCTGAATTCATGTAGACCGGCAACGCCAGCACCATTTTAGTTAAAGGGAACCTGGCAAATGCGATCGCAAAGCAAGGTAGGAATCTTGAGGCGCAAGGACTGTATGGCGAAGTATGGCACTAAGTGCTGTGCTCCACGGAGAAGCGCATCCACACACAATTGCGAGTAGAAGTAACTATGCAAGCATGTTGGAAAAGAGAAGGGAGTATACGGAGGCAGTCAGTATCTATCGGCATATTCTACAACTACAAAGAACGGAGGATCACAGCCGTCTGGACACTCTCTCAAGCAGTAATAAACTTGCTAACGCACTAATGCGCCTTAGGGAGTTCCGTAAGGCAAGGAGCATCTACACGGAATCCCTTCAGGAGTACTAACTAAGTTCTAACTAAGTTCTGTATACTGGTTTAAGCTCTTAGCTACAAGCCTTAACTATAAATAATATATCTAGCTAATAACTTAAAAATTATATTATAATAATTAACTAATTACTATAGCTAAAGGCTAATATTATAAAAACCTAAAAGATAACTTATTTACTTACTATTATAGATTATAAAAAGCTTTAATTTATTTTTTAAGATAATTAAATATAAAATAATAAGCAAGATAGTAATATACTTACTTAAATAAAGGCTTAAATA